GCAGAGGCCAGTTAGCGCTGCTGCTCTGTGGCCCTCTTTTCCTGCTCTGCCTGCCACTCTGGAGTTCCTTCCTATTTTGTCCCCTCCTTCCTCCTTCCACAGTATTCTCCTGCCTAAGCCGCTCCTCCTCTGTGCGTGCCTCCTCCACAGTCATTCGCTTTTCTTGGCTGCTCCCTCAGCAGGTATTTGGTGGCTTGTAGAGTGTGACATGGTTTGCTGTCACTGGAGAACTGCGGTTCTCCAGTCTCCCATTCAGGATGAGAGCAACAACTACAGTAGCCAGCAAGGCATACCAGACCACCTCACAAAGATCAAGGGACCTTCCAGCAGTACATCCGATCAACCCTCAGGATGTGCATAAAGTCCAAATCTGCTCTTTTGTTAGGAAGGTCTTTTGGGGGAGTCGCCACACCCAAGTGCTGCACGGATTCACCAGAATCCTTCCCCCAGTCATCAAGCAGCATCAGCACAAAGTTCCATGTAGATGTGGTCCTGACTAGTGAAATGAAGATGAACATTGGAGGTTCAGGAGCACTACCATGTCCTAATGCATGCCTTACCCTGCTACCTGCCTATAAATACTCTCGCTTTCAAGCTGCAGAGTGCTTTCATTTTTCTTAAAACCCTCCCGATCCATCCCATCCTTCTCTGTCCTTTTTGTTCCTTTCTACCCTCCTGTACCTCTCCTCTCCCTTCCTGCTGTTATTCCTACTTTATATGGGGCATCCGGCATGTTTGACTGCTGTGCAAATTCACCATAAACCTTCCCCTAAACAGTCACCAAGCAGCATCAGTAGAAAATTCCACGTAGGTGTGGTCATGGGTAGTGAACAGCTTCAATGCACCTTGGTATTGATTCTTCAAGTCTCTGAAATCCACTGGAGGGATGGACACCATTCTTTCAAAAGATATTTCTTCATTGGTGTTTTGATGATGGTGGCAGAGAGCGATGGTCCAAAGTTGCCCATTGTTGTTCAGCTGGGATGAGATCTGGTGACTATAGCTGCTTTACCATTGTCTGGTACTGGCTCAACTCGACTCGACTCAGTTCTACTTGCTTTTGGTACTGGGTGCTTGGTTTTCCACTGCAGATGGTCCCCTCTCATTGTAGCTGACTATCATAGCAACACTGCAATACACTGCCATGACATTGTCAGCAACTGACACAGTAACAGTGAAGGACATCTAAGGTATACTGCTCTTGATTCATGGTATGTAGCTGCTTTTAGTTCGTACAGTAACTACAGTAAAGTAGTGGTTAGCATTAAATAATGCTTTTAAAAATGGCACTTTCTTTGTTCCAGGACGTCTTGCATGTTGATGATCCAATTTCTGTGACAAGTCGCTAGTCTGCAGTGTTTACATGTCACTGTTTGGTATCACCTCTGCTCACTTGGAATCTCGATGGAGGAGATACCAGAAATAGTATGAGGTGCCAGGTACTATCCCCAACATTTAATTGATGGAAAAACAAATAAGGGAAATCGAGTCGAGTCGAGTCGAGCCGGTACCGATGGAAAAGGGCTTTTAAAGGCCGTAGCATATGATTCACATCATTTCCATAAGCCTGAAACCATTAAGTGACCCCTCGTGACCTGTGGATGAGGGTATTGTCATCTTGGAAGACAACACTCATGTATTCAGATTTTTCCTTTAAACTGTCACTCGTCTGTATGTTGTCATTGAATGACTCACATCAAAAAATTATTTTGTGTATCCTTGAGGTGTAACAATCATGTTAAAATAAATTTCTTCCTTTATGAAATATTTGTAAATCCAATTTTAAAAGTATTTTAATTCATGGTTTGTTAACAGTCCTTGCTTACTAAATTACAGTATTGTAGCCAGCAGATGTACTGTTAGCAACATATACTTAAAGTATTGGAATCAAAAGTATTCTGACTATGCTGAGAGGCAATCCAATGTGTTATATTATCAGTTATATTTTCATCATTGTTAGTCATATATTTATGTATTAGCCACATTTCATTGTAGTAGTTAGTGGAGCTGGTTCTAATTTTAACAGGTTTTTATAATGTGAAGTAATTTATAATACAGTATAATACAATAAATCATAATAAGTGCTGCAATATTCCACTCTAAGTCTTAAATGTAAAGTGTTTTTGCTTTCAGATGGACCAGAGTTAAAGTGTCCTAGCAGTTACACTGCACTGGAGTACAGTCCTCACAACATCACCTGCACATTTGAGGGCTATCCTCAACCCGAGATAATGTGGTACAGAGATGGCGAGGAGGTGGAACTTCCAGCAAACCTAAAAAGACGTGATACAGGGCAGTACTTGATCACAGCCTCAAACAATTTATCAAGTGTCAACACCACACTGGAGATCAATGTCATATGTATGTTATTTTGATGAATATCTTGAAAACTTACATTTTCATAAGTGATTATTGCACTGACGCATTAGCTTTTTCTCTGACTTATATTGTTTAAATTGTTGTCTGTAGACCCACCATCAGAGATAGTTGAGCTTGAAGACTCTGAAGTTGAGCTTGGTTCTGAGTTTTGGTTGAAATGCTCCTCCATGGGCAACCCACGACCAAAATATTTCTGGAATTACTACCAGATGTCCAATGTGGTGGAAAAAAGTGAAGATGGAGTGTCCTATCTGCTCATCCACAATGCCACTGCATTCAACAATGGCTCCTACACGTGTCATGCCTCGAACGAGAGAGGAAATGTCTCTAAAACGGCCAGAGTCACTGTAAAAGGTAAGGTCAGTATAAAGCAGTCTATAATGTGGGATCAGAGGTAACTTTGGTGATCCCTAGTTATTAACCAGCACAACATTTCAGTTTGTCCAGCACTCTGGATTGTGACAAATTAGGCTACTTCCCATACTGAAATCATCAGTCTCAACTGTAGGCTACTTTAAGTGCTAATATTAACATGGTAACACACTATGCTAAGATGGTGAACGTGATAAACATTATAGGCTATCTGCCAGACTTTAGCATGTTAGCATTATCATTGAGAGAATGTTAACATAGTATTTAGCTCAAAGTAATGCACCCAGTGCCTAGAGCTGCTAGCATGGCTGCAGCTTCTTTTACTTTTGTTTTATTACATTTAAGCTACAAAATTTTATATTTAACATTATGCTTTAAGAGTTGGTGCCATTATAATCACATTATTATTATTATTTTGGATCCATCTATCTATTTGCCAATGGAGGACAATGCATTTGTTATACACTAATACTAAGGATTTGGGGGCTCGGCCAACTTTCATAACTAGCTGTTACATAACTATTATTATTATTATTATAAGATCAACTAACTCAATAATAATAATAATAATGATAACAACAACAATAATTATTATTATTATTGTTATTGTTGTTGTTACCTGTTTGCCAATGGAGGACAATGCATTTGTTATACACTAATACTAAGGATTTGGGGGCTGGTCCAACTTTCCTAGATACATTTACAGACACAGCTTATGTGCGCGTGTTGTCGGGGAGGGCTGTTTCCTTTCCTAGTTTCCTCTCTCGTGGTGCAGAGCCTGGAGTCGTGCACTGAGCAGCCATAGCTTAGCTTAGCTTTCTCCCAAAAAAGTCAACAGGTCGCCGGTGGCTCGTCTCATGTAGCCAAAGGGTAACAGGACAGAAGGCTCGGGCGCTCAGGTTGACGGAACCGGATCGACAGCTTCTGAAATACTTTATTTCAATGGAGGATTTAAACTGTCTCCGTCTATTTTCAGTCCTTTTGACTTTAGAGCTGCTGTTGCTTTCTAACGGGACAGTGTCGAGTAAGTTGACCCTCTTGGGACCGAGTTACAGAGCTCATGTTTTATTTTCCGCGGAGATTGAAATGGCTCCATTAGGCTGTTTGGTTTGTTAATAATGCAGAAATGAATAGGAGTTAATGCAAAACAGTGGCGTTTCAAATGTGAACAGGAGGTTACTGCGAATTTAACGAGTCGTGTTCATGTTACATGTGACATGCCTTGTGAGCACCATGGGAAAACCAGTAACGTTCTGGTGCGTAACTGGTTGCTACTAAGCATTGTGGGTGTAGGAAGTGTAGTGTTGTAGGTCTTCTCTCAAATCCTGTCCATATTATACTTTAGTGATAAAACATTAGCTTGTCTTTCTAGGTTAGGCTTACTATTGTATGTTTTTAATAGATGAACGTGCAATGAGTGTGATGCATTTCACTGGGATTTGGTTATTACAGTAGAGTCCAGCACAAAGAGTTGGCCAGTAAGTGCAGCTTTTCCTAAGGGAGGAGTGTATCCTTCCTGAGCCTTTTCCTGTCGCCTCCTCAGAAACAGCTTTTGTTCTACAGATGTAGCTTGTCAATGCTTTTTCTCTACAGCACTAGATGTGGAAATGTGTATAGACTTGGACTAGAATAACATTTCTCACCATCATGCTATGTTCCACAGGTGCCAGACAAGAATGTCCTATCCAAATATCTCCAGACAGGATGGTGATACAATACCAAGGCACAAGCCAGACTGCAAAATGCCAAGTGACATCCACTGCCATCACAAATGTCAAAAACAAATATTGGCAGATTAGAAAGGACGACAGAATTGACAATGAAGACTGGAGGGATGTTGACACCTATAAAGACTGGGACTTGAGGCCTGTTTGTATTGCAACGTTTGTGGGAATAGGAACATGCCAAAAACATTTAAAGTTCACTCTCTACAGTATGTATTGATAACCATTTTTGGACTTTCATTGCCATAAACTATAAATATATTTCTCAGATTTTGTAACTATTCTGCCTTTTTCCCCCCATTCCACTGAAACTCACCTCTGTAGAAACACCGGACAGCGTCTTCATCCGTCCTGTGGATAATGTGACCTCAACTGTGGAGGACGTAGAGTTCCAGCTGCAATGTGACATTATCAATGTTGCTCCAGCACAATACCTTGCTGTGCGGTGGTATCTAGGGAATGACACAGTTGAACCACTTACTAGAGGTGGGGTACTGTTCTTTACTCATGGTCTACCTTACCAAGGAAATCTATCAGTCATAGTGAAACAGCAGACGTGCTGATGAACAAACTTAGGTGTTGTTTGCTGATGAAATAATTATGTTCTGTGAGGAAATTTCATTGGAGTGATAATGTTTTGTCACAGACCTGATGTGACATCCAAAAATCCCTGGTTTTTCCACTTGCTTTTCTATTTGCTTCAATGGCAAGCACTTGTATTAAGATACTCTAAAAATAAGCTAATCGCCTTTTGGTTTTTGCGGTGGTACTTTTAAAGCACAAGTCTGTGCTCGTCAGCATACAGTACGGACAAGCAGTGCATTCCAGCTAGATATTAAATATTGAACAAAAGGTTTGGCACATGAGACCAGTAGTGTGTAACTGTCAAATCAAGACGTCAGTTTATGTTGCGACACCAGAAAGTAAAATGTGTTTTATCGGATGTTTGCATCCCACGAGAGTGATACTTTGCTGTCATCACCTCTGCTGATTGTTAAAATTGAAGAAAAGTTTTGAAATGACAGATGTAAGACATTAAACTGTATGAATTAAACACTATCTACTTTTCTGTTTTTTCACTAAAATGTTCCTTTGTCCATCAGGCCCAATGCGAGTTACTGGTTGTCAGCCTGAGAACAACACACACTGCGACATCAGTGTGATCAAATATCCAGTTAATGTGTCATCTACCATCAGTATCGCTCTGAACAGGACGCAGAGTGGGACACAATTCAGATGTGAGGCTCAGCTGGAGCTGGGACCTGAGGGACCACAGCCTCCTCCAAGCATGATGTCCAGTCCTCTCAACATCTCTGTCAACTGTGAGATCATATTTACATTTGCTGCTCAGTACTCATGAGTAAAATGTTACTGTAAAATGAAGCGGTGATGTATATTTTATCACATCATTCCATACATTTCTACCCTACCCTATCCTGTCATTCCATTGAAATAACAGACATCTACTTATTTCAACAGATAAGCCCATCATTACCGTAAAGCTTCCAAAGACAATGCCAGTGTTCAGAGGTTATCCTGAGGAACTTTCGTGTGAAGCCGATGGTCACCCATCTCCAAAGATCATGTGGGTCTACAGCTCGGACAAAGTGCCCCATATCTCTGGAAACATGCTCACCGTGACTGAAGCAGGTTTCTACAACTGTAGTGCCACTAATGAAGTTGGCTCCAGCTTCCATGTGGTTGAAGTTATTTTAAAAGGTAACAACCAAAGCCTCCTTGTATATTTTTCTATGAAAATCTATAATTGACCTTGTCTTTAAATGTATAAAGTGCTCCAGTAGGAAGCCCAGAGGTACGCTCACCGTCTTCCAAAAGACCAAGGGAAGAGAACAGCAGAGCCATTTGCAACTTCTTATCAGACATTTTCTCGATTAAATCAAGTATAAATAGTGGCTGTGTTGAATGACAGTTGCTTTGTTTACAGCTTGTATTTCCACTGTCTAGGTCTTCTTTTTTTTTTCCTTTCTGAATGGCCAATACAGATACCGCCACCTGCTGGTAGGGAGAGTTATTTCACAGGCCTGCTAGTTGGTCATTGGCTTTAGTCTGTGCACTGTGTTCACAATGTCAGCTTTTGATTTTTCTGAGTGGTACGACACAGCGCTGGCTGTGTACAAAGACTTAAAAAGGCAGAAGGCCAGTGGAATAGTAGCATGGTGTTGCTTTCTGTGGTATAATAAGTGATGTAATCAAAATGGCTTCCACATTTTCACAATAAGACCAGCATTGTGGCTGAGAATTGGTTAATGTATATGTTAAAACTGTTTGTACATAATTAGCAGCTCTTTGATCATTTTCATTTGTGCACAAGTGTCCAGATAGCACAGAGCATATTTGTTTATCTCATGTTTCAAATGGAAATTAAGGAATAAAATGTTCAGCTATAAATAGTTGCATGAACTGGAGACAGAAACAGAGTAATAGAATAGAAAAGACCAAAACAGACATTTTGATACGGAGCAGATCATTTTTAATTTTAAACAACAATATGTTGCATATTTGATTTCATTGCAGAGGACTACCTGCCCCTCATAGCTGGATTTGTGGCTGTCACAGTTGTTGCTATCTCCATCATCTTCCTCTTCATCTACTCAATCTACTACAAGAACACAAAGATGCGGCGATACAGCCTTAAAAACCCCAAACTCAGCACCCACAACGGCAACGTAGCTCACAATGGCTGGGACATGCAGTTTCCTATGACCAGACTGTCTTAGCTGTACATCTGCTGATAGCTGACCACTGATTGAGCTGCATCTCCCTGCCACCAGATCTACAGTGTTTGAAAGCTTGAATAACACCCAGACAGCAGGCTCACACTGAAATCTTTGGAAATATTTTAATTCTTCCAACCGTCATACACTCTGTTATCCTCACATCAAGTTTAGCACATATAATAGTATTTACATCTAATCTGTAAAATTAGCTACTTTGGCTTGACATTTAATATTTGCTACTGGATTTTTCCTGTTTCCACTGAACAGAAACAAAAGCCAAGGAACTTTTGGTTTTTTATGAGCACAGTCTAATATGATTTTGAATGTTTTTGTTGACCTTGGTTTTATTAGTCCTTGATTCTTTTTTATATATATTCACTGAAACTTAGATCACTCTGTCATTATTTTGCAACCCCCAACATAAATTTTTGTGTGAAAGGCAAACCAGATTTTCTCAGTTTGTGCACACTGTGTGCATATACTTTACTGGGCCAGTTGATCCTTTACTATTCTTTGTAAGCTACTCAGACAGCGCTCGTCTTTATGCGCCTTCTCTGTGCCTGGCCCTGTGTTGTGCCATGTCGTGTCAGGATGTGCCCACAATTGTATGTTTTTTATGATTAACTGCAGGCATTAGAGCCTTATGCCTATCAGAACTGTATATTTAGGATACTTTTATGTAAATGCAAAATCTTATATTTATTTAAGAGAAACAAGTCAGTATTGAAAATGGACTGCAAACAGGTATGTAAACGTTAGAAATGAGTTAGTGAAGCTGAAGTTCTATCTGCCATATTAAGGACACATTGTAATGTATTTATGAATACTGCTGTAAATATTTTTGACTTGTGTAAAACTATTTTATTATTAAAAATGAAGTTTTCCAAACAATTGCATTGTTATTGAATATGCACTCTGAATTAATATTTGTAAATATTACAGGTATTTGCAAACCTGATGAAATCTTTGCTCCAAATAAGACAAACATTTCTTCTGTTTTAATAGACCTATAGCAAATGTATAATTGCACATTCATTGCTGACTGTTGCACATACAGGTGATGTAGCATACATTCTTATTATACTGTTATATTTTTCACATACTGTTTTTAAAATTGCCTTTATTTTGTATTGTTATTCATCTATTTTATATTTAGACATTATGTTGTTTGGCATTCAGTGTGGACAGCAAAGAAAGAATTTCATTGTGCAGGGAAACATATTTCCTTATATGACAATAAACAATTTGATTTTATTTGAACTTCTCAAGAGGTTGCTGGAGCCAGCAGGTTTTCCAAGTTTGAATGCTGCCTTCTGGTACTGTCAGAAACGTTGTAATTGCAGGAAGTTGACTGCTTCCTATTTGGAAATTAGGAGAATTTTTTTTTTTTTTTTTTTTTTTTTTTTTTGCGACTGTTGTGGTATATGTGTGTAACGTGCATCATATACTGGCCTTAAAATTGCTGCTCCTATATAGGTCCATTAACTATGTTAAGCCTATGTCTTATTTATGGATCACAGTCACAGCAAATTCCAAAGGATAACATGTTAAAGTGAAAGCACTTATTTCTAACATGGTCCAAAGATGTTACAGACATTGAAAAGGTTTCAAATGAAGGTTAACTTCCATATTTAATTTAAAGCACCTTAGCTCTAGTGTGGCCGTAGGCGTGGTTACCGACCACTGACCAATGCGCTGCAGAAAATGACAGTTTACGAGCAGCAGGTTAATGCACCATCGGAGTTTTACTTTCGTCTGTTTATAGTGGCACTTACCTGTTGGGAAGCTTCGTTAGTTTGATTTTGTTTTTCAACTGGATCTTTCACTTTGCTCTAAGAGCGTTGCTGATTTGCTCACTTGTGAAATCATGTTGTGGTTTTTCGTATTCAGTGGCTTTCTAGCGTGCACAGGTAAAGTCGCATTCCTGATTTTTTTCCACCTAGGCTACAGGTTCGCCAGTGTGAATGTTGGCTGAGGGTGGCCTACGCCCATTGTGCTATTCATGCTCCACTGCGTATACTTCATGGTCTTATTGCTATTTTTCCTGTCTCTGGGGGCCAAAGTTTAACCAGTGAATGTTTCCTTTCCATGGGTTAAACTTTGATCAACTTGCAGATTATCAACCTAACTTGATTTTATGTGTAAGCTATTATCCCAAATCCCACTATGGGCGAGAGGGCAGTAAGACAGAAGACATGCAAACAGGAAATGTATGATTGCTTCTTCTCACCAAAACGTAATTTTAACTGGCTTGAATATTATTACTGATAAAACTGCAAACACCTAAAATGGTTTGACAGTTAAACATGCATTTACAGTGTTCCCAATGTCAATGATATGAGTTTGTGAGACAATTTGATTTGATTTATTCTTTCAAGCATGTAAAAACAGTTGATATGACAACACACATACACATAATCCAATATCAATTTGCTTATACCTAGTACATGCTTGAATGGAGTAGGAAGAAGTCAGACTTATCCAGTCCTACCCCATGACATCATCTTACATCATTGGATTGCAAGCAGTAAATGATTCACTTCTACCCACACAATTTGAATTCAGATGTTTTTTTTCTTAAAGTGGTGACTGTGTTACCCATGCACTGTCCCATGAACAATAACTGGGTGAAAATTCAGTCAGTTGTGTAATGCTTTATACATTTATGCTTGTACTGTAGGTTATAAACTGTACTGTGTGTCTCTAGGAAAGTCTGCAGGTACCTACTGTCCAATTGAAATGAAACCTTCCAAAGTTGTGGTGAGATATGGAGAGCCCTTAAGAGTCAACTGTACCTCATTAACCCAGCCGATAGAGGGAATGGGCTGGGAGTCTACAGCTGGTGGCACAGGCCTTATAGAAGGGGTCTCTTCTTGTCCCTTAACTATAGCCTCTGTAACAGACTGGAATATAGCACCAAAATGCTACATCAATATGATGAACGATGCACAGTGTTTAGAACGCCTACCAGTCACAGTTTACAGTAAGTAGCCCTTCTTTTTATCGGAAGTTGCTGATCAGGCCATTAGTAGTTTTTGATCATTTAATACCACTACGTTTTTGCTAACCATTTTGGCTTTTCTAATGCAGAAACACCGGACAGCGTGTCTCTGTCGGGTCAAACAGGCCCCATGGAGGAGGGTAAACAGTATCTCATGCAGTGTGACGTTGCTAATGTCGCACCAGCATCAAACCTCTATGTGTATTGGCACAAAGGAAAAGAGAGATTCAATATTGGCACATTTAATGATACCACACCAACTCCAGTCAATAGGTCATCTACCGTGACTCTAACCGCTCATAGAGATCATGATGGAACTCAGATCTGGTGTGAAGCACGGCTGCACTTTATGCCAACTGCACCAGATACTCCCGCAGTGCCATCAAAGTCACATAAAATGATCGTACTCTGTGAGTTTTTAACTAATCTTCACAGTTGAAGTTGTAAATGAATATTTTGCCTTTCTTAGATTGTATTTAAATTTCTCTTTGTTTTTTCTCTCTCTGTCTATATTTAATATCACAAACATCCTCAGACCCACCAACCTTTATCAAGCCTGAAACTGAGATGCTGGAAATTAAAGCTGGTAACAAAATTACTTTAGATTGCACCGCTAAAGGAAACCCGATGCCAGTATACACATGGCGTTTCCCACACCCACAACAGATGAACATGAATCAAAGTGAAACTCAGCTCATCTTGATCCCATCCTTTCAGCTTCCAGGGTATTATAACTGCACAGCGTCTAATTCCCAGGGCATCCGGACCAAATATTTCATTGTCACAGAGAATGCCGGTAAGAAATTTTTACTGAGTCTCAGCTTGTTTTACTCTATTTGTTTGCATTGTGAAATCCTATAATGTATTTGCTTTAGTCACCCCGAGGACCACTGCACTGATTTTAATGGCTGTTGGCTTTGTTTTCATCTTTATTACAGAGAAACTTTTTTTTTGCAAAACCAGAAATTCTGAACAGATGAGCTGAGAATGAAAATGTAACAAAATCCCCCTTTTCCCACAGGCAATCGAAAAACCTTTGCAGCAATACTTGTAGGATTTTTGGGTGTTGCAGTTCTGCTGGTCATTGTTGGTGCGTTGTTTGTGACACCTGAAGGCACATTTTCTTTCAACAAAGGCGGCTGTCAACCTACCTCATCAGGCGTTGTATGAGGGTGAAAACTGAAAATCAGTTTTGCATGGCTTTACAGTGAAAATGGTGCTTATTAATAGTTTTTGTGCTTGGAGGAATGTATCACTTACACGTCTTCTGAAGGCCAGTGGTGCGATCTGTTTATGCTCAGCTGGTCGACATCTGCTTTTGCTTAGCCGCTATAGCTTAAAGAATGCATAGTCCCATCCGCTGTCTTTACTAGTGGACTTCCACAAACAGCAAGTTTCCAACCATTGAAGACGCTGCTTAGAAAAAACAGATTACATAGGTAGACAAAGAGTACATTTACATGCACGGTAGCAGCCTGGTTACTGTAAATCTGTGTATACCTGCTAAGGGTCAGAAATCACATTTCTCCTATACCTCTGCAAGCATGACGCATTATTTTAATTGTACTGTTTCTGCTGTGTGTTGTCTGTGTGACTGATAGCACAGTGAGAGAACAGACACAGAGTACAGCTGGTCAGTATCCAGTGTTCAGTAGTAGAAAAAAAGTTCAAATAATCCAACTTTATGCAAATGGCAGACAAAGTTAGTGAGTAGTTGGTGATGAAATCTGAACAGAGAACATACTGTATATTTTCAAGGTGTTTGTACAGATCATGTACTGTATTGTGGAAACTAAACCAGAGCTGGATATATTGGACTCAATGGACATAACATGTATGCATTTTCCTGATCCATTGTACGACCATTATAGGTCAGGAAAGAGGATTTGTCATTTTAGTGTGGAGTTCTCCTGCCCCCAAGTGACAAAAACATCAATTCTTTTTACAGTATTTTAAGGCAAAATTGTATTTTTTTATGTAATTTATATCCACTCGGGTATAGTTTCTATTTTTGCTATCAAACTACAATGATTACTTGAGAATGCTTTTGATACTGCAATGGTGTAAACTGAGTTTTTATTGTTTGGGGTTTTTTAATTATTCATTATTGGTGTCTGATTTAAGCATAGTGTATGATCATTTCATATTTTGTAAAAATGTTTCAGTATATTTTTTTTATATAAACCTACAGTGAGTGGTACATCTCTCTCTCTCTCTCTCTCTCTCTCTCTCTCTCTCTCTCTCTCTCTCTCTCTCTGACATTTGCACTGAAAAGACAGACCATGCCATTTCTATGATTTGCCTTCAGTGTCATATAAGACCATTGATGACTCTACCTGAATATGTGCCAGTGAATCCTGCATCTTTTTTCTGATGTACCAGTAAAAAAAAACAAAAAAAAAACTGATTTCATTGAACAAACTTTAAAAACTTTTAAAGTAATGTTAAAGCATTGAGTGCATGTGCAACTTGTTTAGATACGGTTGTTAAATTGAACCACATCTATGTCAGTGTGATCCTTAGGGTGAATACTGATTGAGGCAAAGTCAAACCAGTGTCTTTCATTGCCATTTCCCTGCCACTTTTTGTCAACCTCTTGGACCTCTCGCTCTTTCTCTCTCTCATTCAATGTGGCTTACAACTGCCATACTAATTAGTACCGAACAAAGTGAATGTAAAGGAGAGTATTTGTTACCCTGCCTCCGGCTGCCAATATAGAGCTATTTTTTTTTGATACTGTGTCCTTTATGTTCAGTCCCTGTCATTTTCACTGAAGGTTTTGCCAGTAAGCACTGTTTATGTATGCTCTGACTGCGTTGCTATAACAATCTGGCAGAGTGAATACTGCTCAATTTGTCACAGAGTTTAAACAAAGGTTATTATAGACACACAGGCGTAACGTATTTCTCTTGAGAACTAGAAGAAAGAGCAGCATATTCAAAGTGAGGGAAGCATGTACTGGAAGCTACACACTGAGATTCCCAGCTGCGCTCTCCAGAAATACATCAAAAAGCATCTGATTACTTGCTCACTTGCACTTAGTTGTGGTCAGGGCTGATATGTTGTGCAGCATTCTGGTCACAGTGGGAATCTTACAAGCTACATGCTGCACAACACCCATACTCCTGCCTGCTGGGATTTCACAAAGCATAGACTTCAGAAGCATTGGGGGACGGGCACTTACGCAGAACTGAAAACAGGCTTTTGTTCGCTGCCAGTCATGATTTGACAACAAAATACCAGATGTTTGGAAAGCGTATCATGGCCACATCTAAGCCTGGTGGTGTAGAAAGTATTAAACTATATCAAACCCAAAGTGTGGTTTAATTTCCATATTCAAGCAGATTTATATGGGTGAATGGTTATCAAATAAAGGAAGGTTTGGGCTATAGATGTTCTTTTATGACTTCAACATGATCATACTATGAATTGTAAAGCATCTCAGTTATTTTAAATGTATTGAAGATGTTTTGGTGTAACTTCAAAAGTGACAGTAATTGAAGATTGTCAACAACATTTTGCTCGACTTAGACTATGGTAAACCAAATATTGAATATGGACAATAGGTGCATTAATCACACTGTTTGTGTACATTATTTCTGTTTGCTGTGGTGTTTGTAGGCCTGAAATCCTAATATCAATAGAGTACAAAGGTTTGGGCTGTGTTTTTTACAGGCCTGCCACCTGTTAAATTTCCCACTTTCCCTTTTACCCCCAACCCCCAAAGTCAGCTGGGATGAAGGGGGCCCTTTTGTATCAGCATAGTTTCCTGCAGGGTTGCCAAGCTTGTTCTTGTGGGAATTTTCTTTCTCTCACCACTTAATCGACGGCTCAGTGCAGAAAGTAACATGGAGAACAACTTTCTGAGATGGATTCTGATTTTTTGCATGTTTTATTCAGGTAAGATGGTGGTAAAAATGCTCTTTCTTACTTGTTAAAGTATTAGATAATGTTTGGTGCAGTAACTGATGAAAAGAAGAATGTCGGCAGTTTTAGTTGGTGATGAATTTGAAAATGACCATCAGTGCAACAAGGCAAAACACTAAGTTTTTAACTTAAAATACAGTCCTCATTCTAATTAGTATGGTGTTGTATTATAAATCTTTATCTATTTGTGTTTACATGGCTATGCTACATTCAGCAACTAAAATGATGGTGGGCAGTTATGGTTGAAATAAAATAGCTATTTTAAATGCAAGTTTGCATGTTGGACTTTATACTCTTTGTTGTAGGTTGAATAAACTGTAGAACCAGTAGTGGATGAGGTATTCAGATCATTTACTTAAATAAAAGTAGCAACACCACAGTGTAAAAATAAAATTATTAACTTGAAAATATATTTAAAGGACCACAAGTACAATTACTCATTATGCTGAATGGCACATTTCACATTAATGTATACCATGTTATTGGAAAGGTGGTGTTACCTTCTACATCGCTGGGTAGCTTGTGAATTCCCTACCAGGGATCAATGAAGCCTTATGATTGTACTGTATTCTGTTTTATTAATCAGATCCTTAAAATTAACTAGGAACTAAAGTAATACATAAATTTAAGGGATTAACTGATGAACTACAACATTTGCCACTAAAATGTAAGTCAAAGCATGAAATAGTGGAAAATGAAAATAACCAAGTAAAGAACAGACACTGTACCTCAAAGCTACTTAAGAACAGTACTTGAGTAAAAGGTTACTTTCTACTTCTATGTAGGATAAATGCCATAAAAGTGCACATTTTGCCAAAATAATGTAAAGTAAATAATTGGCAATGTAGTTATAAGATCAATATACATATATGAAATATGAAAGTACTACAAGCAGGATGTGCTGTTAATTATACTGATTATAGTGATGATGACTGCTGCTGTATGTATCAGTGTCAGGTGAAGGCTGCTCCATGATCCTCAGACCCTCCAGGGTTGTGGTTGGCTTTGGGGAGCCAGTGTCAGTCAGCTGTGAAGCCATTCGCCCGGTACGTGTCCTGGGCTGGGACTCAGTCATCAGTGCTGCAGAAACTCACCAGAACCTTTCTGTCCAGTGGAAGGTAGACAGTCTTATTGATTGGATAGAGGAGCCCATCTGTTATGGGGTGTTTTTCACACCTCCCACACAATGTGAAGAGAAACTCAACCTTGTCCTCTACAGTGAGTCAACTCTTGTTTTAATAGAGTGTGTATATGTCTCACAGAAACCTGTTTGATTAACCTGGACCCTGTGTATTATTAATTTAGAAACCCCAGATAGCGTCTCCATCAGGCCTGTGAACCACACCGGCCCCATGGTGGAAGGGAGAGAGTACCAACTGCTCTGCGAGGTTCAGAATATTGCTCCTGTTCAGTACCTCACCCTGAGATGGTACAGAGGGCTGACTGAGGTTTATAACCATTCCTTCACTGACCTCACATCTTCCTTGCCTGTCCAAGTATCATCCATCCTCATCATCACGCCAACCAAAGCAGAGAATGGAGCACAGTACAGGTGTGTAGCAGAGCTGGAGCTTGGACCAGAGGGACCACAACCACCTCCTACTGTGACCTCGGAGCCTCTTAATGCCTCTGTATACTGTAAGTCATGAGGCTGTTTTTAATCTTAAATAGGGTTCCCATATGTTTAATACACTGAAGAGTGATGGTAGCCTACAGCTAATTCCTACTGATCTTTTCTCTAGTTCCCCCAGCATTCCTCAGTCCTGAACCAGAGGTTTTGGACCTTGTAGTAGGTGTTGAAATTACCTTAAACTGCACCGCCACAGGAAACCCCACACCTGTGTACAGCTGGCAATCCTCCCATCCCATGCAGGAGAGGATAGAAGATGAAGCAATTCTCACCTCCTCCTCACTGCTCCCAGGGACCTACATCTGCATGGCCTCCAATACATTGGAGAAGAAGAGCAAGCAGTTTATTGTCAAAGCCAAGACCAAAGGTAAAAGGGAAATTTGAAGAGCACAGGTCCAAGTCGTCTCCACACAATGCACACTAATTTTCATATTATTTTGCTTTTACTTAGGTATTTGAAACAAGAGATCTTGACATGGGATCAGATGACCACATCGAACATACAAGGAGAATTCACTTAAGGATATTTTACTGTTGCTGCTTTTGAGATGGAAATGACAGTGCATCAACAGATATTTATGAGGATCTTGCTTTCATCCAGAAGTAGATATTATACAGACAAAGACCTGAATATACTATATTTGGTAAATGCCATTTAATTTGTCAGTGTTATAACAAATGTATTCTGTGTGGTAGATTGTTGGTCTATAATATAGTTAACTTTTTATACTTTCAATGTGATATCCCATATCTAATTTATATTTTTGTTACTTATTTTTCTTTTAATGAAATTACCTTGTAACATTACAAATGTGTAGCTGCACTTAATATAGCAATAATTAATACATTATTGTTAATGTAAGATAAAAATGTAATACTGCAACTTTAACACTAGTAGCCAACAGATCGGCAGTTCATTACTGTAAATATTAGTTGTTTCTTTTATTCATTATCTTTATCAAAAAAAATTGAAATAAAAATAAATAAAAACAGTATAATTCACATTGTTGTCTAGACCACATTTAGCTAATTATACTATAGTAATAAAAGCAGGCTATCTATCTTAGTGCTGTGTGGCTGCTACCACTTTATATAAACATAGAAATACTAAAACATTTTGGTTACACAGTAAAGCAAAGCTATTTCACACAGCGAGATAGCCTATACCCTACATTCAGTTGCCTTTGGACTAAAAACAAACGGTAAAAATTCTGTTCAAAGAAACTTTTTTCTTGTTTGTGCTGTTTCTTCTTGTAGGTTCTTATAATGGAATTTATCGTTTACTGCGTGTGAAACGTTAATTGTATGCCACCAGGTGTCGCTGTTTCGCTATCACTAATTATTTCATTGGCTAGTAACACGTCATGTGATCAAAACATTGCCTCACAGGAGGAAGTGGCATTAGCAGCTAGCATTAGCTTATAACGACATTTCATCCAGGATCTGACGTCCATGTCATCTACCCTGAATCTACAAAGGTGGGAGGTCTTTTTTGCAATGTATTGCCGGATATGTTTTACTATTAGTGGTCAACCTCTGAAAGTCGTCATTGTTTTCTTTCAGGCATGCCGCAAAAAGACCCGTGTCAAAAACAAGCATGTGCAATTCAAAAGTGTTTACAAGGTAGATAAAACACCCACTTGAATGACATTAGTATATGTTTTAAAGCAAACTCCACGTTATCCTTTCACTCTCCCGGTTTCTTTTCTATAGCTAACAAATACATGGAGAGCATGTGTGAGGATGTGATCAAGGAGATGCGACGGTGCTGTGAGAGACATGCTGAAAACTCGAACTGTTGTTCTGGGTTCAAGAACTCAAAACCTACGGAGAACAAAACTAACAAATAGCTCCCCGTGAACTGCTTGAATGGAAAGTGTCAGAAGTAACACTGTATCAAGGTTGACTGTGTAATATATCTGTATCACAACAGTGGATTGAGTTATTATTATTTACAGAATTTGGAAGAATGTGATTTAAGTGGTTAACGCTAAATGATCTCTGTTTAAACAGTCCGTAGCAGACGTTTTGACATATCACTGCAGAAACCCACATATCGTGAGCACACTGGGGCACAGCTACTGTATATGAAGTGCAACCAGTATTAATTACACTTGTGTCAAACAGTCACACCTCTCTGGCAGAGTCACAACATGAAGTTGAAAATTATATCTTAATTTAACCTGTCAAATGTAGTATGCTAATTATTAAAGGAAAGACTGTTTCTTTTCTCCAGCTTTTCATGTTATTGTGTCCGCACCCTGTTATCAAGTATGAGGCATACCTGTGTGTGAAAGCTGAGCCTACACAGTTACACGACAGATGTAATGTGCACTATGGTAAACCCACACAGGTGATATAAATAACTTTCTAAGTACTGTATGGGCATGTACAGACTGGGCTAGATTGACATTTCCCTGACTGTGTTGTTAGCTTTGTTGCACCAGCTGACAAATTCCAGTGTAAGGTCTATTGTTACTAGTACACTGAGTCTGGTGGCTGCGCATAATTCCCGGTATAGTTCTGCATATCTTAAACCTGAGCAGAGGTCACATCACCTAGCTGAAAACAGGTGGGTATTTAATATCACATGTTAATTTGCACTAGCCTACTTGATTGCCTAATCTTGAATCAGTGTGGTGTTTTGTCATAAAAGATTTGTTTGTTCTTCACTTGATCCCTTTCCTTTGCCATCCATGTTGCTCAGTTCAAAGTAAGCTGGCATGAGGATGTAGGTTTTACTGTATTTGCAAAATATCAAATCAGAGGAAAGCTATATGGTAAAAATTATTTTGGAAATACACTGCATTTGTGATAGAGGATTATAACTACTTTACTGTTTATTTGCAGACTGCAAACATGACATACATAAAACTGTTGTTCTTCAGAGCTTATTAGGACATGAAATGGACAAAATGCAGTAACTAAAAAAAACAAAACTAAACTGTCACCACAATTAGGCTACTCATCATCATGTACTGGGAAAACAGTTTGGCAAAACTTTGGCAAAATGGCGCCCACTGTGGCAGGTTTGTTTGCTTGCCCTGCTCTTGAATGAGGTGTCTTTGTTATTATATTTGTATATTTTTCTTTCATTGGCTTTGAGCATGGTTTGTATTATTGTGGTAATTGGATAGACTGGTACATTTGTCTCTTCCAGAATCAGGGTTTCTGTCTGATTTCTGTACAACAGAGCTGGAAAACGGGGGTTATTGCCCAAATACAAGCCCTTGTTTGCTGGACTGATGCATTAAAACAATTAGCCTATCAACTGTTTAATTATGTATTGTCATTAAAGAATCTCTAAACCTTTCAAGAAACCAGAGAAAAGGTACACAAAATTGATTTTTTAAACTAATTTTGGCCCACTAAATTCACATTTACACATGCTATTCATAAGTATTTCATGTGATAGAGATGCATGAATGGTCATTAGACAGCATGAAAACACAGTAAACTTTTTTTTTTTACTCTTGCACCCTGGAGGCAAATTCCTTAAAGAGAAATACCATCCCCCTCTTGTGTCGAAACCTGTTCCCCGGTCGAGATATTTCCAAATGTTAGAACTGTGTTTTTAATAGCGCCCCCATCGGTAGTTGTGATTAGGATAAGGTTCAGGTTAGGGGAAACACCTTTTGACAGGACAACAGATTTGGACACAACACCCCCACCCCCACCCCCAACTGTAAGTACGTAGTGCAACAAAATGTCTTTAATTTAGGTCAATATTCATCATGACCTTAAATGTTTAACGAAAAAGTTGACACTCGTATCATTCTCTTCTCTATCGAAGAAAAAACGCGAACATAAATACATAACAATAAAAAGGAAAAAAAGCGATAGTGACATAATTTACAAAGATGCCAAAAAGTTTAACTTTAATTTCTCAATGTGAAAAAAGCGCTGTCAGTTTTTTCTCGACGCCATACGTCCTTACGTGTTGACGTCAAACGGAAATTTGCAGCAGCAAATCTTTCTAGAATTCTGTAGCAGTTTCGCTAGCTAGCGTTTCTTAGCTTTAATTTAGCGGGTCAGTCTGGGCTAAACATAGCCATCCTCTGCATTGAATACAAACGCATTTCTGAAACGTACGAGGTTGCTGCGTTATACACTTTATAATTCGGGTTAGCTTCGTTTAGCCTATCAACTTAGCCGAGCCCGAGTCACAGTAAAAGCTAAAGGTGTTTGCATCAATTTCTTGTTGGCATAATGTCCAGGATAGACTACAGCGTGTGGGACCACATTGAGGTGTCAGACGATGAAGATGACACCCATCCAAATATCGACACACCCAGCCTCTTCAGATGGAGACACCAGGTATATACCTTTAATACACGTGTGACTCGAGTTGTTTGTAGTTAGTAAAATGTGTGACGATTACATTGTAACCGTTAAACGCTATTGTGTTAGCAAGTAGCTAATTTCCTGTGCTTACTTTGGTGCTGCATAACGTTAACTTATAGTTGCAAAATGCTAATAATCCAGTAGGTAATAACTTATAAATGCGTAGCTGTTTGTAATCAACCCCAGGTCTGAGAAGGTAAGTGTTAGAGGGTGGAAGTCAACCATAGTTGAAAGACTGTCTTGGCCATAAAACCTTTGTACCTGTGGTTTCTGACTGAACTTATATTTATACGTAAGGCACGTGTGGAGCGAATGGAAGAATTTCAGAAAAAGGGTGAAGAAATAAACAAGGTACTCATTGAATGCCGCCGTAAGCTGGCAGACACACAGAAGAAAATACAAGAGTTGACCCTTTCAACAACAGATGATGCAAAAGCTGAGCTGAGTAAAGCCCAGGCTGAGGAGAAGAGGCTGAAAAAAGAGGAACGTGAGTGTGAGAAGAAGTTGGACGACCACAACCGGGAAGAGAAGAAGATGCCATGGAATGTTGACACCCTCAGCAAGGATGGTTTCAGCAAGGTAAGGCAGATTACATACTGAAGTAACTCATTTGACCACCCCCACCCCAAGTGACTCAAATTGTAGCTTTTCCCAATGTGTGAACAAACCTTTTTTTTTGCAACTGTTGTCACAATGGCCAGATCAAAATGCATTTCACATTTTTAAATATCCCAATCCTCTAATGCAGTGTCAAATACAAACAGCAGAAACATGACTACAACCATTAAAAAATTGTGTGTGGAACTTCTTTGGGAAAATAAATCAAAATGAAGTGCAGTGCAAATTCTGCCAGGTTAAGTTGGCATATAAAGCAACAACTATGCACAGCCATTTGAATTTGAGGCATCAAGCAGAAAATGGGGTGCAGTCTGCAGATCAACAGCCTGTAGCTAGCTAGTTTTATTATCAATATGCAGCACAAACAACAGCCCTTATCACAAAAATGATAGCAAAGGACATGCTACCCATTAGCTTCGTTGAAGAGGAGGATTTTCTAAGTTTGATGGCATTTGTTCAGTTGAAGTATATTGTCACAGCACGACTGGATAAACTGTATGATAATAATACATGTGAGCTACGCAGTTTAAGTATCGAAAAGGTGTCTTAAACCATGTATACATGGACAGCACTTACAACTGAGTCGTATGTGACAGTCACTTGCCATTAAATAAGCAACAGGAAAGATGCAGAGCACTGTTCTTCAGACTAAAGCAATGCCTGAGTGGCATACTGCTGAAAACCAGGTGAATGTTCTTTCCACTGTTGCAGAACACTGGGGACTTAGAAGTAAAGTCACACCTTGCGCACATGACAATGCTAGCAATATGATGGTGGTTGATCTTCATGTAATTGTCGAATAGTATTTGAAGTTGAAATGCCCATCCCTAATACAGATGCATACAAATACACAGTTTATCTTCATGCCACTACTAGTTGTCTGTTATTTCTCTTAAGTATCCTGTCTACTATTTCTCATCCATAGAGCATTGTGAATATCAAACCTGAATCTACTGATGAGACTGAAGAAGAGAAAGAGCAAAAGCATAAAACTTTTGTCGAGAAATATGAGAAACAGCTTAAACATTTTGGTAAGGATTACTGACTTTCATTAACATTGCTATTTATTTCATGTTACAAGGTATTTGTATTTGAAAGTAGCGATTATTCATAACTGTCTTGACTACAGGCATGTTGCGACGTTGGGATGATAGCCAGAAGTACCTGTCTGACAACCCTCATCTTGTATGTGAAGAGACTGCCAACTACTTGGTCATCATGTGCATTGACCTTGAAGTAGAGGAGGTAAACATTAATAAAATGTTAATCATTTTATTTTAAGCATTTATAATGCATACATTGTATGTATTTTAAGATGTACTGAAGGTAGTTTTATGGACTGTCACTCAGGGGTACTCTTTTTTTGTGCCACAACTTATTTTCTCATTGTAAATTTTGAAATATGTGCATTATTGTGAAAAAGTTTCCTTCTTTTGTAGAAACACGCACTGATGGAGCAAGTGGCTCATCAAACCATTGTGATGCAGTTCATTTTAGAGTTGGCCAAAAGCCTCAAGGTGGATCCCCGCGGATGCTTTCGTCAATTTTTTGCCAAGATTAAGGTGACTATCTGTACTTGAATGCTACAAAATAGAATGCAGTAACTCAGGAACTAAACCAAGACCTGCATTCCTGTGTGCATTTCCATTACATGTGATGAATTGTGAAGATTAGGCAAATGACTCCAAGTATTGATCAAAAGCAGTGTTCAGTTTTCACCCATGAGGAAATAACAAAAGTAATTTTGTTCTTTATTGCTGTGAAATGCTAATGGTTGAGTTGGACTGAATGAAAACTTCTCTGGTTAATTTTTTTTTTCTTGAGAAAGTCACTGCCATTATTCCTCTCATTCACCTGCTTTGTTCTCAAAAAGTGCTCCCTCTCTCTTGTTCACTCAATAGCTCGCTTGACCTCATTAATGTGTTCCAATAGTTGATCCTTGGAAAGTACAGCCAGTGGGACCAGGGACTTTTCTTGTTACACTTGTACAAGAACTAAATTTACTTCCTTCTTCAGTTGAAACTCTGGTTAAGTTCCTGAGTTCCTCAAAGGGTCATGGGAAAGTTTTTAATAAAGGCAAACACCACTCTGTGTGTCCCCTCGCAGACAGCAGATCAGCAGTACCAGGAAGCTTTCAATGATGAGTTGGAGTCATTTAAGGAGCGGGTTCGTGGCAGGGCAAAAATACGCATAGAAAAGGCCATGAAGGAGTATGAGGAAGAGGAACGACAAAAACGTCTTGGGCCTGGAGGGCTAGATCCCGTTGAAGTGTATGAGTCCCTGCCAATTGTAAGTTCTTTTGTTCTGAAGAAGTGTGAGCACTCTCTTTTTATTTTCTCTCCTTAGTTTAAATTGCCTCACAAAGTGTGTTTTTAATTGCAGGAGATGCAGAAATGCTTTGATGAGAAGGACATCCAAATGTTGCAAGAGGTTATTAGTAAAATGGATCCAACGGTAAGTTCCTTTATTAAAGCCTAAAGTAATATTTTTCTTAGAAGTGTTTTTTGAGTAAAAGGGTGTGTTGAGCAATAAAATCACTAAGGAATAGTCTTTTAGATATAGAAATGTGATTTGCATGTATTTTGTCTTGTTTTGCTAAGTTACTAAATGTGACTGTTTTTCCATGATTTAGGAAGCAAAGGCTCACATGAAGAGGTGCATAGATTCAGGACTCTGGGTCCCTAACTCCAAGGCAGGCGAAGCGGACGAAAAAGAGGAAGATGGTATCTATGAGGAGGTTAAACAGGAGCAGGCTGAAACTAAGAAAGAATGACCAATAGTGATCCTGTGATTTGTTTGTACAAATGTACTTACCTATTGTATTGCAACTCTACTATGTCAAGACTAGTTTGTTAATCAAGGATCAATGAAATGTTTGTAAAATGTTTAGTTAAGGCTTGAGGGATTAGATTAACCTAACTATACAACTACACTGCGACAGTAACTCCTGCTTGTGTGTAGGTCTCTTATTTGTTTGAACACTGCTAAAAATGGATTCTTACATTTACAGTGTTAGTATACACCTGTTCATTTGAGTGGGTTTGTTTGATCACACCTGCCTGCTTGCTTCATTTTGTTGGTGTATTGTTGAAAAATGTTTGATACATTTTCAGGTTGTGCTTATAATTAATCTTTTGTCAGTTCTGAGTATGACATTTGCTTGACCTTTAGGGCTTGAGCAGATGATGTATACTGATGGTTATTTCCCCAAAGCAACATTTTCTACAAAGCCACTTAACTAAAGGTTGAATTATATCCATTTATTTAAGAACAGTGTGGTGGGGTTATGTCTGATACCTGAAGGTGTAAAGGAGGTGCTGCTCGTCAGATCATAAAGTTAGAGATCAGAAATGAGAATCTCAAAAAATGTTTCACCTGCAATACCATGCATGATGAAGCATTTGATTATTTACTCATATTTGTTCTGCAGAGATAGTCAGTGACCCAGAAGGTAAATGGATGTATGTGCTTTGATATTATACATTGTAAGATGATGGCTAATGTTAAACACAAAAAGCGGTCCATAACTGTCCTGAGGATAACTGCTCACACACATATTGTAGCTTTATATGGCCCAACCATGAGCATTATTAAAAGGATGAGCTTTGTAGAGGTTGATTGGTGGGTCACGTAGACCCAACTTGGTTTCAGTTTGGCGCTATACATGTTGTAAGAATGATAGTTCGCATGGGCTTCTAGTAGCTTGTGTGATAGGTTACCAAAAGTCCTGGATGGATTTGTTTGGGTTCTATACTTTCATTTTCAGTGCTTTTATTTTGAAGGTGAGACTACTTGGCTGGAATTTTGCTTGACTTAAAATAAAAAAGGTCTATACAAAAGAATTATGCCTGTGTTATAGATCACAAAATAGAGCTGCTAAGTGTACACTGCAGGAGTTGTATTGAGGAAAAAAGGTCTGATTTTTTTATTTTCCTCCAAACTTGTATGAGATTGTGTGATGCAAGTCTGGAAACATATAAATAAAATGCCATGGTTATATCTGAAAACAAATGACAGACATCTTAAAACTGGGTTTAGACTGATTAGTTGACACTGATTAAATTAAGGATCTGATAAAACACCACTTAACAAATGAGCAACAAACATGCAGTTCTGGTTTTATAAATAAGACAGTAGCGCTACAAGACTGGCCCATAAGATGGAGGATGGACGCCTGTCAGAGATTAACTTCAATGGCTGAAACTGCTAACAAATTTGCAAGTAATTAGATTATGCAGACCCAAAGGCCTATAATATAGAGAAATCATTTTGGGGTGTCTAGAGGGGTCTAGGGCTCCTGGCCTGTTCCTGGCTTGCACAGTGTTAGGGTGATTTTTATTTTATGCACTTATGAATGGTTTTATTCTATAGCACACATACGTTTACATACTTATATGTCACAGTTATGTTTATATAGTTATGAATATCACCCTATGTGTTCACTGAACCACTGGTCAAATATTTGCCATGTGAGTCACTGAAACACTAATGCAACATCATAAGTCTTGTCCATTAAATTACTGAATTTCATTAGATTTACGGCTGTAGCTAAGGGGGCTCATAGTTACTTATCATTCCTCTGGACTGGTGGACCCAAAGGAGTCTTGGTACGGTAAAACTCCAAGATTATTAAAATAGATTAGATGTAGATGAGAAAGCTTCAAAGGGGGAACATCATGCACCCACACACACTAATAGAACAGTTTTAATTAGTGAAACGGAAAGAAATGCCTAATATGGTTCAGTTAGTTGGAAACAAAGGAAGAAGTGAGTGTGTATGTAGGAATTAAAGTAGTATAGGTATTCTTCCCCTTTCTAGGGCGCTGTCCACGATGATTGGAGCAGAGAGAACCATGGAGGATGGACGGACTGAAGGACCAATAACGGGAGAATTAAGTCTAAACCACGGCTTCTCCCCAACAGTTTTTGACCAATTAGATAGTGGCACCATTTCATACAAATATTGTATACCGAAAAGTTGAGGACAGTCTTTTCTGTTTATCCTAAACAGTGAAGATCCACGTGCACATGCTAATTTTGATACGTTAATGCATAATAGATTTCACACTGTGAAATATATCTCCTTTTTTAGTCGTCTCTCCTCAATATAAAGAACACGCCTCACAACAGCAATGATGTATGACAACGATGCAAATTTGCTGTATAGGTAAATGTTTAGTATACCTAAAAAGTCAACTTTTATTCTTACACATTTATTTTGAAAGGTCGCACCGAGGAAGAAGAAGAAGAAGAAGAAGAAGCAGAAGAAGAAGAAGAATTTATTTTGAAAGGGTAGTGTGTACGTGTGTTCCTACTCGCCTCGGCCGCTTAAGGGAGGGAGTACCCATGTTGGTTTCGGGAAGTAGCGGTTTGTTGTCGCACATTGTTTTTGAGAATCCGAGTGAGTGGGTGCCGAGGGGGGGGAAATACGTTTACAAGATAATGAAGTCTTATCGTCTGTTCATCTTACCGTGATAGGTTTTTAAGTGACACATTCAAGAGCACCTCGTTAAATGGTAAGACGCTTTGCTACGTTTACCGATATCCCTGCGTTATATTTATTCTAGCGATCAATTTCCTATTCATGGCATCGCATCAAGTAAGACACTTGAGAACTCGTGTCTGTGAGCAACTCAGTGACGTAGTGTGCGTTATATTGATATAAAATTGTCTTGACCTGTTGTGTAGAATAATGTCAACATTAAGTTTGACAAGGTGTAGCTAATACCGGAAGGCCGTTATAGATCCGATTGTCTGACCACATTTTTAAAGCTGTTTGTATATTTTTGCAACTTATTAACCTACGAACTTATATTTTATTCACCAATTATCGTGTATGGTAAGAAATGGGGAATACGTTGTGACAGAAAAGCGCCAAGGTGTCTTCACAATTTCTCTTCCGTATGTGTTTACGTGAGTCTTAGTGCGTAGGAGACTCCAGCCAATACAACAGCTGACTAACCAAAAGATGAGCCATATGCTGTGATCTAGCATTGATTGTGTGTGTCTGTGTGGCAGTGATCTGGCTGCCCCACTATGTCTAGAACTGGGTGGTTCAAGCGTTCAAAGCCAGGGTTATTTCCAGGCCTGAGTGAGTCGCCTCAGTGTCAAGGTATCCACGTTTACCTTTTCTGGACTAAGGAAGGGGAAAGATATTTGTCACACACAGATGGAAAAGTCACAGCAGAGGAACTGTGCATATCAGCTGCAGAGGCTGTAGGTGAGAGTGACAGCCTTGATCAAATATTCACACACTGAACAAAATGAAAGTAATTTGCATATTTCTTTTCATATAGTATTTGAGCCTGCTGGTGGCAAGGGTCTTTAACCTAATTATTTATTTGCCAGGGATAACACCTCTGTGCCATGCATTGTTTGCGCTGTACAATCCACTGTTGCGCTGTTGGTACAGTCCAAACCACATTTTCGCTCCTGAGGAGAACTCCAGCCTCGTACTTCATTACTGTATGAGGTTAGTGATTGTTTTTGTAACCCTGTATCTGGAGGGCAGAGGCAAAACCTTGAACATAATCACATGCATTGTCTGCTTTATTTTAATACCTAGGTTTTACTTTCGAAATTGGCATGGACTAAACGAGAAAGAGCCAACTGTATGCCGTTATCCTGTCAGATCAGGAACAGATCAGACTGGTTCCCCTCTGCTTGAAATTGCATCATTGGAGTATTTATTCTCTCAGGTTTGTATTTAACATAAGGTTTAAGTTTAATGTGAATTTTATGCACTTACTGTGGATGTGGTGCTCAGACTATTCCAGCACCTAACCTTTTTGCCTCCTGTGCCTCCTTAAGGCTAAATATGAATTTGTGAATGAAGTAATACAGATGGAAGAGGTTCAGTCAGAGGAGGAGCTGAATCGCTTCAAAAATGAGAGCTTGGGGATGGCTGTGCTTCACCTCTCGCATCAGGCAGTTCAAACATGCTGTAGCTTACAAGAGGTTGCTGAAAAAATCAGGTAATTACTTGGAAGGAATGAACATGGAGGAGTCAAGACATATGTTGTTGAAACTGTTACTTTGTAATCATCTCTACACCTAAAATTGTGAATTAACAACAGTGACTAATTGTGCTTAAATCTGTAAACGTATCAACTAAGATGTTAAATGGTCTTTTATTTGGGTTATGCTCTGATAATGATTCTGATAGTGATTGTCTCAGTTTGTGTGGGTTGTTTTTGTACTGTCATTTCTTGCTTATTTTCAGCTACTGTGACAATCCAGTTTCTACTCTGGATCACAAAACTTTCTTGTAATCACTGGATCCAGGGAACATTAACGTGTCTCTTTTTCAGCTTCCAACGCTGCATTCCAAGGTCTTTTGCCAAACACATTTCCAAAGATAGCTTCCTGACCAAAATCAGAATCCGACGGGTGTTTGCAGACTTTGTACGGACCTTCCAGCAGCACACTGTGGATAAGGGGCGGTTGGGTGCCCAGGAGATCATGTACAAGTACATCTCTACTCTTGAACACTTGGCACCACGTTTTGGCACAGAGACCTTTCCTGTTTCCCATCTGGAACTGAGAGAGGATGGGGATGGAAGTAGCTCTTATTCCAACACCACCCATGCGCAGAGTGACTCAAAAGACGACTTCAAAGCTTCTGCCACACATGAAATAATGGTATCTGGCACCCAGGGTATTCAGTGGAGGAATGTGTCAAATCAGAAGGTTTGTCAAAATGCAACTTCAAGCTTCTTCTTTTCTTCTTCTGGTGTGGTCTTTTTATTACTTCATTCTCTTTACCTAGGCACCAGCAAACACTTACTTCAGGAATGACTACTTCAGTTACACAAGGAAAACAAAACAACTGTCCACCCAACTGAATGCAAACACTCCCAGTAAATGGACTTCCTTTTGTGATTTCCCTGAAATAACTCACATAGCAATCAGTGGAGCTAATGTGTGCATTAGCACTCAGGACAATCACTACATGGTAAGTGTACTTGTTTACCCTTTTATGTAAAAAGCCGCAGTACATTAATATAATTGGTAAATGTGCTTGTGGTGCATTAGCTCAATGGATATACTGTATATTGGTCATTCTGCTTATCAGATTGTTACATTTTAAAGTATCTAATATACTCTACAGTAAGGATGTATGCTTAGATTGTTATACTGTATATTCTCTGTGTGTGTGACTCTAAGTGCTTTTGCTTTCAGTGGGCCATTTTATTATGTTTTGAAGTTGTTTGCATGAGTCTGTAGGTGGGAGTTCTGGTTGTACGCTAGTGGTACTTTTGTGTATGTGTATGTAGGAGGTTGAGATGATCTCCAGCCAGGAGGCCCGTTCGTTCATCTGCCTCCTAGATGGATACTACCGGCTGACTGCAGACGCCCACCACTATCTTTGTCATGAAGTAGCTCCCCCTAGGGTAGTGCTGAGTGAAGCAAATGGACTGCATGGACCTATGCAGTGAGTTTTTGCCTTTTACACATTCATAGACAGACACAAACAGGCATTATAGAAACATAGTGCATTATATCAGAGCTCTGGTATACTTCCAGTGATGAATTTGTGCTACTGAAGCTGAAAAAGGAAGCAGTGGACGAGGGAGCTTTTCTTGTACGTTGGAGTGCGCTCGACTATCATCGCATCATCCTAGCTGTGCTAAACAAAAATGAGGTAAGTCAACACCCACACTGTTCCCTGGGAATCAGTGCAGTGCAGTGATGCTAAAACAACTTAAGCTACTGCATATATGTCTGTGCTTATCTATACTTGTGGCCCATAGATCGGGTCAACACCAAGCCACAAGCAGTTTCGGATTCAGCACAAGGGTTCGATGTTCTGTCTGGAGGGCTGGGACCGGGAATTCTCAAGTGTGAAGGAGCTCACAGACAGCCTCAAGACCTTTGTACTCAAGTCTGGATCAGACAGCTTTACGGTCAAAAAATGCTGTTTGCCAAGACAAGGAGGTCTGTATTTATTGGCCATCTCAGTTTTATGCCTCCTCCAGTGTTTGCTTCCGTTTGACTCTGTTGTGGGAGGTTCAGGTTTTTTCAGAGGGTTGTTTGTGTGTCTTTTGATGTAGAGCTATCCAACCTTCTGGTGATGAGGCAAGGTGTAGATCACCGTCCTCGTACTAACTCCTTATCCCTGAACATGTCCCAGCTACGCTTCCACCAGATTAAGGACAGAGAGATCAAACAGGTGATGACAACCTCCACAGGACCATATGTTCCATCTAATAAGCTTTGTGTTTGCAGCTTTGTGACTGACCCTGGTGGGCGCTGTGTTTATGAGCAGGAACAACATTTGGGCCGTGGGACCAGAACTAACATCTACTCAGGACGTCTGCTGGTGCGGGGAGTAGGAGAGGATGATGACGACGACGAGTTCAATAACAACTTCGCTGACCGCAAAGGAATCCGGGTGGTTCTCAAGATACTAGACCAAAGCCATAAAGATGTCACACTAGTAAGTCATGTTATCTTTTATATTAACGCTAATAAACTCACTCATAGAACAGCAGTGGTTTTATGTTGAATTCAAGCCAATATTAACATGTCTACTTTAGCATCCTTATGTATTTGATGTTTGCTCTTTCAGTATTGGTTCCTTTGTTTTTGTCAGGCATTTTTTGAAACTGCAAGTCTCATGAGCCAGGTATCCCACAGCCACCTGGTGTTTGTACATGGTGTTTCTGTCAAAGGATCCGAAAGTAAGAGCAATAACATTTTTCACCTTTGCAAGCTCAGTTCTACTTTTATGTGTATGATTTCCTTGTTTGCTACTTCCCCATTGCGCAAAGTTTGTCACATTTATGATTCTAGTACCATGTGAACCATGAAGCTAATGCAAATTTGCAGTCAGCTTGTGGGAATTTGAAGATGATGCAATGTGTTTAAATTTTGCTTGTGGCTATACCAGAGACCTGACCTCTCTGACTTGTTTCCTGCCTTCACAGACATCATGGTGGAGGAATTTGTGGAGTTCGGGCCTTTAGATGTTTTCCTTCGCAAAGAAAAAGCATCTGTGACTCCTCAGTGGAAATTTATTGTTGCAAAACAGCTTGCCAGTGCTCTCAGTTATCTTGTGAGTCCAAACACTACTTTGTGTTTCTCAGTCTGCCACAAATTATAATTAAATACAACTCACTTTAATGACCACACAAGGAAGTGGTTCTTGAAGGGGGCTGATTAAGGTGAAGTAAAATGAGTTGTACCCTTTATCACCAGATAGTCTTGCAGTTCACAATCAGAGATAGTCTTGCAGTTCACAATCAGAGATAGTCTTGCAGTTCACAATCAGAGATAGTCTTGCAGTTCACAATCAGAGATAGTCTTGCAGTTCACATAGTCTTGCAGTTCACAATCAGAGAGATAGTCTTGCAGTTCACAATCAGAGATAGTCTTGCAGTTCACAATCAGAGATAGTCTTGCAGTTCACAATCAGAGATAGTCTTGCAGTTCACAATCAGAGATAGTCTTGCAGTTCACAATCAGCTGCTGTAGGTCAGTGAGTAAAATAGTTTGGATAACAGAATCAGGTAATGCAGCTTTCCAACTAGACACCAAGTTTTGAATTTCAGCCGCTGCATTCAGGAAATACTATCATTTCAAGCTTGAATTTTTCTGACCCAGATTAATTTGTGCAAAGATTCATCATATTAATAGTTTGTGTTTAACTTATTTTTACAACGCTCTGCATCGCAAATACCAGTATCATTTTAATCACCGTAGGAGACCAAACGGCTAGTTCATGGAAATGTCTGTGCAAAGAACATTCTGGTGGCAAGGCGAGGTCTGGAACATGGTACTACTCCATTTGTTAAACTGAGTGACCCAGGAATTGCCTTGAGCATCCTTTCACGGGAAGGTCAGTCCACAAACTCTTAATTACAGTAACTTAACAGTCACTTTACAAGAAAGTTTCCCAACTGAGTTTTCTGTATTTTGTTCTGCCTTTTTTTAATCTGTTTTAGGAAGTGGAAAACTAGACCATTTCCTGTGACTTTCTTCCTGTTGTCTTGCAGTTTTAACACCCAATGTGTCATTTAAGACTGTCATAAATAATGCTGAGAGGTGTTGTTTCGGTCACTGTCAGTATTCTGCGAAGTGTATGAAGAAACAGAGCGAAGACCTGATATAATAAAGTCTCACTTATTTTGCAGCTGTTGACATTGAATGTACATAGAAAACCAACTTTGTACATTAAGTGCTTCAAAAAAGTTTAGAATTTATATTGAATTTATGGTTTTAATATACTGTAAATTAGAACAAGAAAAATATTTTTCAAGATTTTGTAAACATTTACTCAGTTTTCCCAAACTGTAAATGGATTCTACTCATATGTTCATCAGAATGTTTAACTAGAGCACCTCGAGTTTGAAACTGACATTTTATTATCACTATTCTGCATTGCAGAGCGTCTTGAGCGCATCCCTTGGATTGCCCCTGAGTGTATTGACAAAGGCACACCCGTTGGCAGTGCTGCTGACCAGTGGAGCTTTGGCGCCACGCTACTTGAAATCTGCAACAACGGTGATCTTCCCATGAGTGGCAGCACATTGTCTGAGGTAGGCCCTGAGCTTTAACCTTTTTTTCTGTTTCAACAGCTGTAATTGTAACACCACAACCTTTCCCCCGAACAGAAAGAGCGCTTTTATCAGCAAAAGGGCCGCTTAGCTGAGCCATCCTCCCAGGAGCTGGCCAGCTTCATCAGCATGTGTCTGACCTACGAGCCCGTTGAGAGGCCTTCGTTCCGCACTGTGCTCAGAGAGCTCACAGAACTCATGATAAAAAGTGGGTTTTTATGTACTGTAACAGTTCTTTTTATTTTTCTTTCAACCTGTCTCAGTGTATGGATGAATGGATGTTGTTTTTTTTTGCATACAGATCCTGATATATCTCCCAGTGAAACTCTCTCTGACACGGACCCTAGCGTGTTTCATAAACGCTACCTGAAAAAGATGCGGGACTTGGGAGAGGTGAGTTCTTGTACCACCTCACCAGTAGTTTTCATTTTCCTGTATCTTAGAGAGTAATCCTGCTCATTGTTCTGTCTCCAGGGTCACTTTGGAAAGGTGACTCTCTACCTGTATGACCCAGCCAACGATGGGACAGGAGAGCGTGTGGCAGTGAAGGCTTTGAAACAAGAGGATGGTCATGTGCCTGATGGCTGGATGAAGGAGATAGAGATCCTGAAGTCCCTTTATCACAGCAACATTGTCAAGTACAAGGGCTGTTGCACTGAACTGGGTGAGTCCTCATCTGTGTTCTAATTCAGATATGTCAGTTGAAATGTACATCAACATATAGTGTCTGCACATGCAAAGGAGTGCTTGCTCTGTTCTAAGTTGCCTTGCTTGATAGATGAATCAAGGAATTGATTTTTGGGCCCTGTTGTTCCTTTGTGAAATATATTTGAGATGCAACACTTTTTCATTTGTTCTGTATGTCGATATTTTGAGCGTTCAACACACAGCATGCTGAGAACCACTGCAACAGGTCATTCTTGCCCAGAAGGTAATGGGACAAAAACGGATAAAAACACTGTTGTGTTGTTTGTTGACAGGAGGACATGTGGTGCAGCTAATAATGGAGTACCTTCCTCTGGGGAGTCTGCGAGAGTACCTACCCAAACGTAAACTAGGTGTGCCCCAGTGCCTTATGTTTGCTCAGCAGATCTGTCAGGTAAGTTCAGGTGGTTTTGTAGTTTGTGCTAAATCTCTGCATTTCCTTTTGATCTTATTATATTGCTAGTGCTGTGTGCAAACTGCTAAGATGTCAGGTTGTGTTCTTTCTTCAATAATTGTGGAAAACAATCACTCAGCCTGCCATTGTTTCCTCCCACCAGTGATATGTGTATGTTTGTTAGCCCATGTAAGCAATTTCAAGCCAGGCTGGACATTGTAAATCTATCATTTTTTTAAATTGAATTAACATTTTGGGTTTGAAATTTACATTCAGGCTTATTTCAATCATTTTCTGTGTGTTTTAAAGGGGATGGAGTACTTGCACTCTAAACGATACATCCATCGAGATTTAGCTGCCCGTAATGTCTTGGTGGAAAATGACAATCTTGTAAAGATTGGAGACTTTGGCCTGACAAAATACATCCCTGAAGGTGAGATTTACTATCGTGTCCGTGAGGATGGGGACAGCCCAGTGTTCTGGTGAGTTCATGCAGCACTTAATGTAACCGTGTTTTCAGTGCTTTGTTTCATGGCTTTGGCCACTAAACTGTTTTATGCACTGTGTAGGTATGCCATTGAATGTTTGAAGGAGAGTAAATTTTCCTTTTCATCTGATATTTGGTCCTTTGGTGTAACTCTGTATGAGATCCTGACCCGCTGCGACCATTGCCAAAGCCCTCCAGCAGTACGTCTTCACCAGTTTCTTAAAACAAGCTTACAGTTGCATATATTTTCATGTGAGACAAATCAAGTAAACCTGGAATCACTGTGTTAAATGCACAATGTACACTTCTGGTTTTTCTGTAGAAGTTCTTTGAAATGATGGAGGGATCCCAGGGACAGATGACTGTGATGATACTCATAAAACTGTTGGAGAAACAGATGCGATTACCCTGTCCCAAAGACTGCCCACATGAGGTAACATTACTTGCTCATATAATGGACATCCTGTTGGTGTTATTTAGTCTGATATTGTACATAATTACAGGTTTGTTTATTTTTTGTTGTTTTTTTAACAGGTAAAGATTTTGATGCAGCAGTGTTGGGCTGCAGAACCTGCACAACGGCCATCCTTCAGAATCCTCATTGAAAATTTTGAGGCAATTCGCAGAACGTATGACTTGCAGTCAAACATAAACTTTTCCCTGGCTCAGATTTGCTGATCAGGATTCAGTGAAGATCTGCTTGTCTACATCTTATCACATTGCCACTACTGTGACTATATACTGTATGTTCTGCTGTGCAATGTTTGCTCCCTCCATTTAGATAGATGTCCGTATAGGCTTCCTTTGGCTAAAAGCAGAGAGATATTTTATTGTGTGATATTAACACATTGACAACCTTGGTCAGTGTGTATGTGTATGTGTATGTGTATGTGTATGTGTATGTGTATGTGTGTGTGTGTGTTTGGTTTTCCCTCACTGATCATTTGAACGTCATAGGCACATTTGATGGCTTGGGCAGTCAGCCACCATTTGTCTTTCAAAGTTTTAGGCATGCTTATAACACAGTACGTATTAACATTTGTTGTAAATTTTTCAGTGTATGCAAACATTACATTTTATATTGTAAATAGCAGAACAACAAATTAAAAATCTAATAAACAATTTTCACATGCTTTTTCTTTAAAGACCTTAAAAACAGATGCACATGTTACACAATATGCCATTCAACATGCTATACTGTATGTGCAACAAAGCACAGCTGCATCTGTGTTATATAAGAAGTCATTGATCAGTAGCTTAGGGATGTACTGTAATGAAAGCAGCATATGCAATTTTTTTTTTCACTGACCCAAGGAATGATCACCCCTTATATGTGGAATATGAAAACATGGTGCACCACCGACTGCAGGGCCACAGTTCAGTTGTTGGCAATTTTGCACCAACAGTGCTTGCTCAAGAACTGTTCAAGATCAACAACAGCAATGCTGCTCTGACAGAGTAATTTATCTTAGTGTATAACGTAACACAAGAGTAATGTAAGATATTCCCAGTTTTCCAGATGGATTGTAAACACGTAGAACCACACATGTCATATCATGTCAAACAGCAGGTAGGGGGCAGCCAAATACAGCAGCTACTTATGCTCAACAGGTGTTTAATCGGTGTTCTGCATACCCCTTAATGAAGACCCACTAGAATCTTAATAAACGAACAAGGCCTCAACCACAAAACTGCAGCAGACATTTATTCCACAAATTCCAGAGAGCAAAGCTGTTTATTGCTGAAAAAAAAAGAAAATTAAGACCTACTGCAGGGTCTCTGTTTAGACAGACTTTCCAACCATAATGAGTATGAAGTGACATTTTTTTATTGAAGTTGCAATATAATAGGCCTCTATTATGTTCTTTAAAACGTTTTCCCATGCTTATCTTTTTAATCTATTATCTCTATACGTTTAATGCTATTCAAGACTTAGATAATTTAGTGATATTAGCCTACAAGTCTTATATTGATCCTATATCATAGGGTTGGAACTTGGGAGACAAAACTGTCACCAAATAGGTTTTTTATTTTACTATTAATTCCTTTTTTAAACGGGTTGAAATTTGTTTAATTAACACGCACAGGAGGACCTAACATTCGTTTTAGATACCTCCAATGAAAAATCCTGGGGCATTTACACCCAGCTTTGAGTAGAATACAGCCACCTATTACGTCGTAGTCATGGTGAATGCGTCCCCCTTTCGTCCAATGAGCAGCGTCGCTGGGGCCACGTGTGTATTGTTTAAACTGCTCAAATCAGATAGTTTCCAGACCGAGAAAACTTCCACCAAACAGGGTGATGGCGGCTCCTGTGTCTGTTAGTACAGCTGCTAGAGATGAAAACACCAACATAGGACTCAGTTTCGCTTCTCGTCCGTTTCATGAAAATTACGACTTTGCTGCGGATCACGATAAATGGATGGCCGGAGACCCGCGTCATCCCGAACTCGAGCCGGGCCAAGAGGATTCTGCTCCCGGACTTGAGTATCAGCGGAGGGTCGACGAGGACTTGACACCATTGAGTCCCGAAGAGATTGCGAGCCGCCTGGAGAGAACTCGCCGGGAGTTTTACAACCGTAGAAAACTTATCATAAAGAATCTACCTTCCGACGTTAGCAACCAGGTATAGTTAAAAACCACCACGGGGTTTAAGTGTTGGATGAGTGATTGAGTCGTGCATTTTGGAGTTTAGCTAACATTAGCTTAGCCCCGATGTGCCTGCCATGCTACCTATGTTAGCTTGCTAGCCATTTAACTTATTAGCTGCCATTAAATTCAGTAGATAGGATTGTTTCCTTTGCATCTGCGACAGTTTCTGAAGCCAACGCATCATTAATCGGTAGCCGCCGAACACCATTAACGTAGTATGCATTGTTTGAATTAGTTAAATAACACAGCTGATTTCAAATGCAAGGTGGTCAGATAACTGTCAGCAAGTCATCTGTGGCCTATGTGACCTGCCAGTCCGGCATCGTAGGTAACGTTAATAGTTTAGTTTTTTTCCTATTGTTTCATGTTACAACCTCAGCTGCAAAGTCTAACTTTGTGTGATTCTACTCTTTACGTCGGTTTTCCAGCTGTAAACTTTTTAGTCAGTTCATCAGTTAAACCTGACCATGACTTGTATTGACCAGCTTGTGATTTACTCATGACTCCACATTTTTTTTGGAACGTGCCTGACTCGTGGGGAGCGAAGGGCGATACCATTGTTTACGGGGGTGGGGGGTCTGCTGGGAGTTCGAGATGCGGAGAGCAACATGACAAAAGGTGGAAGGCCTGGAGACAAAACATTTCAGAAAATGCTAGACAGCATCACCATTCGTTTGTGAATGGGCACAAGCAGCACAGAACAGTTTCTCTTACAACAGTTAGTGATTTGTTCACCTTGCTCACCTCCACAAGTGCATTTAACACTGGACATGAGTGAGTTAATACTGTGATGACCAACATTTGCAGTTTTAGAGAGTCAGATGGGTCATGGATGACTCCCTGGTGAAAAGGTCATAATTCAATGTGCAATGATTAATACAACTTTCTGGATGCGATAAACATCTCTGGATTTTCATGTTTTATTTACAGGAGGTCCATGAGCTGCTGGGCAACTATGGCTTGAAGTACTGCTTTGTTGACAAATACAAGGGCACAGGTTAGTGAAATTGCTTGTTAATCATGTTAATTTTACAGTAGGGATTATATCACCGAGCTTCTGTATGTCAACAAGGAGAAAACTGTTGATGACGAGACAATTTGCTTCAGATTGCACTGTGATCATATACAGTGGTTCTTGACTGCTGAAAATACTAACAAAGAGCAAAAACCTCCTGGAGCTGACATTTTGGCACAAGATGAGTTCATTTGTACCTTCAGTAAAAATGTTGGTCAGTGTGCTTCAGTGTTTCATCACCGGTAGAGACGGAGTGATTTGCTTTTCATTAACTCATCATACCTTGACTGTTTTACAAAGTTATGGATTGGTACGCAGCAGTGTGGTAGCTCTGGGAGGAAATACCAAGCTATTGCTGTAGTTTGCTAGCACAGTAAGTTATCCATTTCACAATCGACATTTTTCCATTAAGGCTGCTTTTCTCCTAGTGACTTCTGTAGCTGCTGTGTTGGAATCAGTTGGTTAAGATTTTATGGGGGGGAAAGTGTTGCAGATGTCCTGACTACATGAATGTGTGCTCTTAAGTAAAACCTTTTCTGCATCAGTGATGATTGATGTAGGAAGAGCAAGAAAAACTCTTAACTACATAGCATTAATATATTTTAGATATTAAGATAGTCATGCATGTAATAAAGTTATGGATATAATAGTGGATCTCACTGTCCCCAAACAATCATTACTTTGGCTGCATCAAAACGATCATATTTCTAAACATACCAAAATAAGTCTAGAAATATGATAGTTTTGAACATACCAAAATAAGTCATGGTAATCTGTGTTTAATTCTCCTCAGGAGGGTGAATAAACCCTTTATACATCAGAATGTTAGCTGTGTCTCAGGCCATACATTCAAAATGGTTTTACATATTGACAGTATCACCAGAAAGTAGCAGATAATGGTTCAACAAAGTGCTTGAGCCACAAGCAAAAGTCACAGTATGTTTGGTATTTACTAAGCTATTGTGACAGATGGTTAAGTAAAACTTTATATAGCCCAATATCACAAATCACAGGGGCAAATATCATTCACATTTGGATATGATTCAGTAGAGTTAAATTTTATTGTGGCTTTCACACATTACCACGCAAGTCCTTTCTCCCTTCTGCTTTTTTTTTTTTTTGGTCTGATTGCTTCATATGTGGATGCACATTTCTTTTTGAACCCGACCTGGACCTGACAGTATATAATATCTGAATTTGAAGGGTTTGTTTGTACAAGGTTTTTCTCCTTATCATTAAAAGAAGCGGACATTTGAGCACGTCAGCTATCTATCCTACATTTCCAAACCCAACCTCAACCAAAACGTCGTTTCTGAATTTCTGTCCAAACCCTTGAATACCAATGGGTCCCGTTGGGCTCAGTTCCGGCATCCCCACACTAACAACGGGTGCCAGTAACATTAAAACTCATACAGGTACAAATGCTAATTTTCAGCTATCAAGTGCTAGTCAAATAAAACACCTTTGATTCTTGTCAGCCGCTCTAACAGCTGATGTGGTTTGATTAAGGGAAATGTTGCAGTGACTTGCAGTATAAAACTGGCATGTGTTGATATTGTGCCAACAGAACTGTCTTTGTGTCAGACCTGCCAAAGCAGAAATGGTGCCACAGTCAAGGATTACTCTGAGACCTGCCTATAAATGAAAATGCATCTTTCTGTTCTTGCTGACAGAACAAATGTCACTCCCTCACTTTGTGTCATCTCAAATTGTGCTTGTCTCTCGTCCCGTCTGTGCTCCATCACCCTTAGCATTTGTGACACTGCTGAATGGGGAACAGGCGCAGTGTGCCATCCGAGAGTTCCACCAGCATGTGCTACGAGACAGGGAGATCTCTGTGCAGCTGCAGCCGACTGACGCTCTGCTGTGCATCGCCAACTTGCCTCAAGTTTTCACCCAGCAGCAGTTTGAGGAGTTGGTGCGACCCTTTGGTAACCTGGAGCGCTGCTTTCTGGTGTACAGCTCGTCCACCGGGCATTCAAAGGGCTACGGCTTTGTGGAGTACATGAAGAAGGACTCAGCAGCCAGGGCCAAGTCGGAGCTCTTAGGAAAGCAGCTCGGCTCCCGCATGCTGTATGTTCACTGGACTGAGGCGGGCTCCCTCACATGCCCACAGCTGCACTCCAAATGTCTGTGCATTGATTGCCTGCCCCCGAGCCCTCTGACAGCCCAAGACCTCCGCAGCGCCCTGGCTGACACCCATGTGCCAGTCTTCTGCCAGGTCAGATTCAGCACACAAACACAGGGCTGCTTGTCAAATGAATGTGATTTCAGAGGGCTGTATTGCCCAGATTGCGGTGTAGGTTGAGAATAATGTATTTAGAAGCCGTTATTTTTTTTTCACAGATTTATAGAAGGGATACATCAAAGAGCTTTTTTGGGTTGAAGATTTTATCAGTGCCTTTCACCTTTAGCTCAGTTTTCATTTGGCCACTCAAAGTTTCTATAGCAATACGCATTGCTGGTTTCTATGGTGATGACCACCTGACTTTCCCAGGTGGTTTCAACAAGCTTTTCTGGAATGAAAGAGAGGGTTGTCCTTTTAGCACGACATGCATAGTTGCACTTTTCTGTTCATTCTTTAAGGATTGAGGCAGTGATGATTAAAGGTCATGTGGTAAATAAAGGAAAATTGCTTATTTTTCATAGCTCTAGATTTTTAGCAAGAAACATCTGACCTTTATTGACTGATGGTGGGAAAGGGCAGATATATAGTCAGCAGAAGAATATTTATCTAGAACAACATTTAACAGATGGTTTGATGTTCACAAAGTTTTAAGTGTTGATCTGGAGCTTTTATGACAGGAAAAATGACTGTGGGTGGTTTGAAGTTTGCCAAACTCTAAAGGAGTCTCAATTATGAGTGGAAAGTTTTTAAAATTTAATAATTGTTGGCAGTGCTCGTCATTTTTTATTACATGCAGCATATTGTAAAAAAAAGTGGACATTTCATTTTTAGGACTTTGAGTAGGAGTCTTATATTTTTTTAATTGTGAGGCTAATACTGTATATTAGAGCCTATCGGTTTAGAAATGTTCCTACCTGCCACCTGTAAAGAGAGTCACTGTGTTATCAATAAAAAAAATCCCAGAATAAAATGCTCTTTTCTTTGTTTGGTAGGTTTTTAGTTTCACTTTTAATTTACTTTGAGTAATGGACTGGGTATGAGGGTTTTACAGGTCGTTTCCAACATAAATTTCTTTCTTTAATTTAGTTTTATTTTATTTATTGCCTCTTATTATTTTTCTGTGTGGTGGTTGGATAGCAGGATAATGGATCATCAGCCTACTTGGTATAGACATTGGTGGGGACCAACCCTGGAAGCGATTAGATTTTGGCTGAAAAAGGTCAAATGTCAAGGTCACAAAATCTATATCTTTAACATGGGGCAAAAAAAAAAAAATCATATCTCTGTCGAAAGTTATCAATCATTTTGAAATTTGACACGCGTAGGGTGGGAATGTATCACCAGACTAAATGTCATCTGGATCTGATCTGGATCAGAAAATTAACATTGAAAACCCCATTAACACATTTTCTTGGCCTATAATGAAGATGGAACCCTGAAACATTCAGGTAAGATGCACAGTATAAGCCTATCATACATGATCCAGATCTGATCTGAGCTTGTTTAAGATGTTTCACTCAAATACACCTGCAGGGTGTACGTGGAAGCTACAGGCCTACTCGTCAGTCCGTACCGGTAGTCTGTTGTATTTATTGCCTCCCATAAGATTAAAAGTTTTTCTCTCATCCCTATTTCCTACAGTTGGCTCAGGGACAAGATGAAAGTTTCCGGCGGTTTGCGGTGCTGGAGTTTGCTACCGCAGAGATGGCTGAGGAGGCACAGCGTCTAACTGATGGCAGGTTGCTGGGTGGGTCACACATCAGGGTGTCCTTCTGTGCCCCTGGCCCTCCTGGAAGAAGCATGTTGGCTGCTCTGATTGCTGCCCAAACCATGGTATTTGTCAAACTTGCATACTGTGTTCACACATCCAAAGACACAGTGGAGATTGCCATTGCTCTTGAGCTAATCACCTGTTATGTGATGACTCCATTCAAGGCTGTGAATAGGGGTAAAGGTCTCCTCCCAGATCCTACAGCCATGCAGATCCTCACAGGCCTCAGTAACCCCACCACCCTCAAAATGCTACTCAATCCACTGTCACAGGGACACAAACAAGGTGAACAATACTCCCAACTTCTTCATCAGTGGTTTGTCCTCTTGCTGTGGAATCCTTATGTTGTCTTTGTGTGCAGGCTTCTTCGGGGCAACCCCTACCATGCCACTTCTGGCCAACCCTGCTCTCTCTGCTGCCCTGCTCCAGCTGCTACTTCAGAACCAGGCCAAGGCTCAGCAGGTACTTTTTCCTATTAGGTGTTGCTCTTAACACCTCAGCCTGTTTTGATTCATCTTGTTCTATTCATACACCACCCCCTCCAACTCTTTCTCTTTTCCCTCTTAACCATTAGCAAGCCTTTCTGGAAAATCATCTTCTGTGGGCTCAGGTGTTGCACAATAAAGAAAACCCTCTGGTACCTTGTGTGAGTGATAATGGTGTTTTGTGTTTGGCTACCAAAGTGTGAGGTGGTGAATTTAGATGGATTTTGGTCTTTTTATGTGATTGAAAATGTGGGTAAGCTCTCATCAAGAAAGTGTGAGGTTTGTTTCTGTAGCTCTTACACACTGCCTTTTCAAGGTGAGATTGGTGCGCCTTTGTCCCGTCTTGTTTTCTGTGTGAAAGGCGCAGAGCCAGCATAGCAGGCCATTTTTGTTCTGCCTCTGGTACTACCTCCCAAGGAGGACAAAGAGGAGGCACGCTCTGTGTAGAAAGGCTGAGCCAGCAGTCTGGAACCAAGTGCTACATTTTGATGTAATACGTGTGTGACACTATCACTGGCGTCTCAAGTCTGCACGCCTCTCTGCCTCGAACTGTTCTCGCCTCTCTAACTTAACGGTCAAAGCACTCCTGGTGTCATGAATGCATTGGTTGTAGTTATTACTCATGACGTTTGTACACGTAGCAAGGAACATGCTAACCACTTTTGCTTAAAAGCAAAATAAATACTTGAAAAGCCAACAAAGCTACATCTGCACTTATCTTTTCCGCCATTGTCATTTTGGTTTGTAGACTACCAGCGCAAAGTTTACATCATCCTTGCGTCACGCCTCTGGTGTGGAACGCCAGCCTGCTGAATGAGTTGAGAGGCTGGCTCGCTATTATACCGCCCTTAGCTTGATCTGTTTGAACAACACAAGCTGTTCTCTCCATCCCCCACAAGGGGGGGTCGCCTACCCGGCGACGCGACCCCCCCCCCTTGTGGGGGATGGATGTTCGCCAATATCCCACACTTGTGCTGTACGCTGTTGTAAATCTTAGTTCTGTAGTCATTTTGTACATGGTCAGTAACCTTTGCTGCTGATGAAGTGTGCTTGTGTAGTTCAGATGGTTTCCAGCGCCCGAGCGCTGTAGCCACACTGTGTGACCTTACTGTGCTCTCTGCTTTGGCCAGCAGGCAGGACTCATTGGGGAGAATCCTCTGGCTGCTTTGCCTCTACAGCGGGGAGTCCATCTGCTCGGAGACCTGCCCCAAGGTTTGGCATCAGCTGATTCAAGCCAAAGCTCCTCAAGCCACAGACTGCATGTTTTTACTTTGCTTCTGATGATGAACATCTGTAGCCCCTCTTGCCTGTTAATCATGCTTTCTGCTCTTTGCATTAGTCATTTTGGTCACAACACTAGATAGGACTTAATGTTACGTGGCACTATTCCATGGTGCAAACATTAACATGTAGTGTGTGTGTGATTAGTTATGTTTACATTATTTAGTTAATTTGATATTTATGACAACCCTGAACAAGAGGTAGCCAAAGAGTTTAAAAATTAAAATAAAATTAATGGTAGTTTGCAGTTGAGCGTTTTATCTAATTCCTCTAGGTGGTGTAGCCTCAGGTCTTGGACTTCAGACAGATCCTCTGGGCCCCCTAAAGCCAGTGCCACTTGGCAGAACCCTGACAAGGGAGCAGAACTCTCCCACTGCAGCATGCACCTTCCCCCAGTCTGCCTCTCCCACCCTACAGGGCATCTCCATGCCCCTGATGGGTGGCATGATGGGGGCAGATGGCCTCACAGCGCAAGGGGTGAGGTCCCAAGTAATGGTTGTAACATGTTTTCTGCCTTTGTTATTATCTGTATTTTTAAATGTGAATGAGAATTGGATGGCAGAAGTGAATCCCCTTTGTCCCCCTCCTGTCAGGCCTCCATACTAGGGGATCCCCCCAAAGATGGGAGTCTTCCTCAGAGTCCCTTCCTCAGTGTCGGCAGTGTTTTTCCCTCAGGTGAGCTGCTTGTTTGCATTGTGTGCTTCTGATTTTCCTACTGATCAGTTTGTTCCTTCTTGCTGCCTCAGCTCAGCTATACGGGTAAATAAATCAGCATCTGTCTGCCCTCTCCTACTCCAGGTGGAAGCTGCAGACCTCACCCATATAGGAAGAGGCCTACACTAAGCAATGTGTCCAACCTGCACACACACCAGAGCATACAGCCACATTACAACTTGCGCTACCAGGATTCCTACGCTCCTGAATATCCTCCTCTGCATCAGGTTTTCACTGCTTTATTCATGGAAAGACTCCACATTTTTAAAGTTTGATTCATTTGACATTAGTAGGTGCTGTTTAACCAGACCTGTGGCCTGTTCATTTATAATGTTAGTGCTCTTTTGTTGCTCATTCAGTGAGCTGTGTGATGTGATCTGGTCTAATGCCCATCTGGTGTTTCTCAACAGGATCCCCTGGCCCACTTGTATGAACAGCAGGAGAACCTTGATACTGGGACTTTGGCAGGATTTGGACAGCAGGTAGTGTTGAGTCAACCAACTCAAGGTGGCAGGAGCACATTGTCCAGTGTCATTAAGTTAACCACATTCTGACCTGATGATAAAACAGCTGTGGTGAACGTTTTCTTTTGTTTCTTCAGCTCTGTCGTCAGCCCAACCACACTGAGAGCTTTTCCCAGTACAGCTGCGCTCCCAGCCCACCTCTGATCTCATACTTCAGCTCTGGTCCTGAGGCCTCCAGTGATGGGGGTCTCCACATCACCCAGCTCAATCGGGTAAGCTGTAGACTTTGAACAGAGCTGGACTTTATTTGTTCTTTTATAAATCTTTGTTTGGCTTTTAATTATTGATTACTTAACAGTACAAGAATGTCAAAGTAGCACTAGAAAAGATACAATCTAGCGTCTTGGCTTCCAAGAATAAGCCCGTGTTTAACAGCTAAGGTTGAGCTGTGAGTGCATGAAACTCGCAAGAAGTGTCGGGTAGTGAAAATTGGTTGTTTGCCCACAGGCTGTGGGGATGCCGCCCATGAGCCACACCACCAACTACCCCCCAGAATTGGTGAATGCTGTGAAGGTAAATTAGACACCTTCAGTGTTATCTTTGACTCATTTGTACCAAATATTTTGCTTTTACATCAAGCAAGTTCTTTTATTTATTCTTGTTGATTATAGACCCCTATTGGTAGCCACAAGCGTGTGTTCTCCCGGCTGATCCCGTCTCCAGAACCAAGCCCTGAGGGCGGCTATGTGGGCCAGCACTCCCAAGGCCTTGGTGGCCATTATGCAGACTCCTACCTTAAGCGAAAGCGTATATTCTAAATACAGCTGAATGCTTCTTGCTCAGTGAGTAGCCATTTAACAACCAGGACACAACAGCACCTCCTCCAACAAACTTGACAGTTTGGCGGCCCCTGGATTTGTCTGCGGTGTACTTCTGTGAATGACCCCTGGAGGGCGCTGAGGAGCACAGACTGTTGCTGTCTGAACATTTTGGTGGCTGTTTTTCTGTTGTATATGTACATATGGTTTTAGTGTGTTTGTAATTTAAGTTTTTACTTTTTCTTATTTGACTTTTAATTTGTTAAAACATGGAAAAAATGATTAATTAGCTAATGAAGTTGTTTTTCTTTAAGTGTATTTTTTATTTTTATTTTTTTTTTTAACATCCAGTGTGAAAAATCAGCAGAGCTACAGATAATTTGCCCAGTTTTCAGTGGCATCTGTAGGCTAATTTTAATAAAGCTTGACATGTCACTTAAAGCGTCCACTCTTTGTATAGTTTGTCTCTTCCTTCCACAGGGTGATATATTTTACTGTGTAACTCGTGGCATTTCTTTACTGGTTAATATTCAGCTCTCCATCCACCAGTGACAGTCTGTGACTGACATGCCTGTGCATTATTGGTTAAGCCTTTTACCATTCTGGCATATTTTCTCACATTGTTTGTCTGACGAGCCAGACCCTCCAGCTTGTTTACAGTCTGTTCTCTACACTGGAAGTCGAGTGATGCACTTTGGAGGGCCAGGTCACAGTCCTCATCTGTTCTCACCTCTGTATGATGCCATTGTCAAGTCTCCTCTCACCCATGTGTTCAAGAGTTGAATATTTTGTGTTTGTGTGTGATTTCTATTTGCTAAGTGAAATTCTGAACATCTTTAGGTACGAACATCACACCTCGATGGGGCGGGGTACATGCACGGTGTGCCGCCTCTGGAGCTGCCAGCAGGCAGTCGATACAGGAGCTTTTACTGTGTTGTCTTAGTGGTTGGCTTGATGCTCAGTTGAATTATTGAGCTGAGTTGATGGCCGCTGGAATGATGGGCACCACCTGTGGTCAAAGTTTTCCTGTAGTGGTTGGAGTTTGTCTGAAATACAAATAGAAGCAGGTAGTTGATCAGTGACATTGTCCTTTAGTGTTTTTTTTTGAATAATTATCTGGATGACAGTTTGATTGTGAAAACCTATTACCTCTGACTTCTGCTAGGAAATGCAGTTACACTTGAGCCTTAACAGTGTTTTCTGTGATCTCATCCAGCCCTGTGTTGGCTTCCAAGTGACATTTCCCCATTTGTGGTGTTTGCTGTGTAAATAGTTAATTATTTTCTGGAGTCCAAAACATTTTCTCCAGTCATACCTGCCTCTGGTCTGGCGTTTTGAGTGGATTTGCTGCACCTGTGTGGTTTTGTCATTTGTATGATTGAAAGCTGGTGTGACCAATAGTGGTGCCACAGCAGACTACTCATGTTGTGTATGGACCAAGAGATGCAGCTGTACCGTCTGATCATCATTGATTTCGACTGATTTGACTCAAACTGCCGTTCTCTCATCTGTACTGCCATGATTGTCTCTGTGTGTGTGAACTAAATGTTATTTAAAGTCGTGATCTCTTTTGTTTTCCTCTCTCCCTTGTGGCATGTTCAAATGTTTGGTTTAACACTAAGGTCACATAAATTGCTTTTTAAAGCACAGCTGCCTTAGTAGGTTTACTTTTGGAGTGTGATTCATAAACTCATTTTAGAACCGCATCAGTTTGTTTGTTTGTTTTTAATAATGAAACACTCAACACATAGTGTGATGTTACATTCCACAGAAAATCTGGTCATCTACATTTAAAGTTAAAATATCTAGCATAAATCAAAACAAATCAGCAGCCTTGTTGCAGAAGAAGGTGACTTAAGTTTTCTAGAGGTGTGCCATTTTTTTTGTTAGGAAAAAGTATAGACTAAACCTTTGGCTGCTAGAATGAAAGTAATGGAAGCAGAAAAAGTAAATGCTTTTCATTTAGGCAAGGAAAGGTAGGCTATACAGTATGTCTTTTATAGCTTCAATGCGCATGTAAAACCAAAATTCATCTTTTAAATGACTGCATGTACAGACAGCTGATGCTGTCTTTATTGGACAGGTAACCATTAATAATAATAATGCTTCTGTAGAAAGGCAGACATCTTGGGGAATGGTGTGATGTATAGGAAGAACTAAACAAAAGGGAGAGTTCATCAAAACACCAACTAATAAAAGTCGTTGTAAACCGGACTGCACAATGTCTTGTTGCCCGATATGTTAAAAAAAAAAATGCTAAAAGCTTTGAACAATAGATGTCTTAGTGTTTAACAATGTACCTAATGCCTGATAATTGTTAACTAAATCTGCCTGAGCAGATACAGCTGAGGTGCCTTTGCACTGTTCTGCACTTAAACAGGGTTTTGTGTAGATGCAATGAGTGGATCAGGCTCTATCAGTGCACTATTGTTGTGACTCTTAACAGGTATGAATATTAAGCAGGGTACTGCTGAGAAAATAATATGCTCCCTGGATGAATAATGATTTAACAATGAACTCGGTTGGTTATCCTCTGTAAAGCTGGATAATGGTTTGGTCTGACAACAAAAATCACTGAAGAAGGGCGACAAACTGGGGGGGGTCAAAGTGCATTTTACTGTGTTAAGATCGTATATAAAGCCTGATGACAAGATTGAATTATTTAAAAAGAAGAAACTGAAACACTTCTTACAAGCCGAATATCTTCAAGCTGTTCACCAGACCCTGAAAGTTGATCAACTGTGTTCTCAAACAGAAATTGAGCTTAAAGTCATGTACCCAGTTGACTATCGGTACAGAGCCCTTTGCTTTACTGCCCATTACCCTTCAGACTGAGGCGCTAAGGTGCAAGAGGCAGTGAAGACGGTTCATCTTCCTTTCAGCTGCCATCAGCATGAATGCTTCGATTAGCTTTTAGTCTTGTGGACTTGCTAAACCTGGAACAGCCGTGCTGCGTATGAAGCTTTCATCTAAAGCACCAAAACACAAATGCAGGCAATTTGGCTGTGCAATTTCCTTTTGAAGCACATATATTGTTTGTGACATTTGTCAGGAAGAATTGGTTTATTTAAACTTTGTGTCTCTTATGGCCTGCCAATTAAGAAATAAGTCTATGTGGGAAAATGCTGCTGTTTATACCGTCAATCTGTAAAGAAGAATTGAAATGAGAATATTGTGAGAGATGATTGGGTTGTTTTTTTGGCCTGCTGACATTATATTAATTTGTTTTTGCCAGCCGCTGGGTTTATTTGTCTGTAATGCTTCAGACATTGAATTATTTTCTAATACCTGCAACCAGCCTATGCAGAATCCTCAGAGGAATCCACTGAGACTTGGTGGACGCTATGTCAGACACATTTAGATTTCTGCCTTTCATATTTCCGCCCACACAGTCACCCTGCACAATTGCTGGTGAATGCTGCTGAAACCTGCGATTTTCCCAAACACAGAGGAGGAAGAGCTCTGAAGGCAGATCACTGCAGCATCATTTATCACAAATTACAAACATGCAAATGTAGAAAAAGTTATACTTCTTGTCCATTTGTGTGTGCAGAAGATCCAAAAATAAAACTGCCTCCTCTCACTTGCCTGTTTAAAACTGGTGCATTTAAATGTACAGATTCATAGTCTACATGTAAAACGCATTCTAAATTTACCTGTGCAACGATTTGCTGTGCGTTTGAGTATACAATCAGTAAAGTGTAACCAAATAGGGTCTGTCACAAGGGCTTTTTATAGCAGGATTAGTCATAGAAAACAGCCCACTCCCCCCGACAAACATTCTATAAAACATCTCAGTAGCCCAGGCAGGAGAAAGCTTTTTGCTTAATTCAAAAAAGGGGGAAAGCCACTCAGTTTGAATGGAGCACCTGCTTATACACCCAGACAAGATTATATTATAGCAGGGATTTCAATTCCAAGCCAGAGCATGTACCCTCATCCTCCTGAAATAAGCTTGGGTATTGTTACACACTTCATTTTCATCCTTTTCAATCAATTCTCTATGTAACTGTATATCGCCGTGGTACTACAAAATAAGATAACCATTTTGGGTTATGGGAAATAAAAGCAATGTTTCTCAACATCGGGTTATTGTTCTGATGCACTGAAACACCACACTTGTCAGCAATATACACATTGGCATCTTTAGCATGCAGATATAATTAAAACATCAAGTGTAGCAGTGAAATGAACCTGGTTTCCTATAAAGGGAGAGTACGCAATTTGAAGCTAGACACCAAGATTATGTATACTCAAAAATCTTTCTACCACACACACACACACACGCAGATTTATTTCTTCAAGAGGTATCTCTTGTCCTCTTCTCCCCTGTCCCATATTGTCCTCAATATTAATAGCCTGCACTTTTATCTTGAAGGACAGTTCTCATTGCTCTTATTTATTTTGGTGCCACTGGTCTCTTACATGATCAATATTGAATTACTAGATATTCCAAAAGCACTTTGTCTCTGACTAGTGGTTCCTCTATCTTTGTTTTTGGTCTAAGAATTTGAGGGTTTTTTTAACTAGCCCAGCACAACAACAAAGTAAACTTATATTTTTATCGTTTCCTATTATAATAACTGCATGTCTTTAGAAGCACAAGCTTCTAAAGACAAGGTAAGGTATTACTGTACAGTATATGAATATACAGCAAGCAGCCATAACATTATGACCACTGACAGGTGGAATAACAGTGATTATCTCATTACAGTGGCACCTGTCAGTGTGGGGGGTGTATTAGGCAGCAAGTGAACAGTCAGTCCTTGAAATTCATATGTTGGAAGCAACGAAAACACACAAGCATAAGGAACTGAGTGATTCTGACAAGGGCCAAACTCTGATGGCTGATGACTGGGTCAGAGCTTCTCCCAGTGTGTTCCCAGTCTGCAGTGGTTAGTACCTAACAACAGTGTCTAAGGAAGGACAGACAGTGGTGACACTGGTGACAGGGGCATGGGCGCTCACTGATGATGAGGTTGACCTACTGTAGATTAAACTTTTAAATTTCATTCATGCTTTTCAAAAGATTCTATTTTGTTTGAATCTTTGTTAAAATGGTCGACAATGAGAAATACTGTCCATTGGTCTCTATGAAGAGAAACATTCAGCAGCTATAGTGATACGACACCTAGAGTGGGGAGGCTGTTCAGTCTGTGTAAAAATGATCTCTAACTTGTCCTCATGACCACAGTTTTCACTCCTTTTCCTTTTCTCACTGACTGGTAGACA